TTAAAGTTGAAAATCAATTCAGGGGACGACAAATTAAAGAGTCACCTGGAAAAGTGCCGTCGCAATGCAGTTTACACATCGCCAAAAATACAAAACGAATTGATTAATTTATGTGGCGAAGTTATTAAGGAGAATATGATAAGTGAGGTTCAGAAGACCATGGCTTACGCAGTCTTAGCTGATGAAACAGCAGACGTAGCTGGGAAAGAACAGCTATCAATAGGCGTGCGGTTCTACGACGAAAGCAAAAGGAAAATCAGAGAAGAATTTGTAGGATTCGTTGAACTAAAAGCACAAAATGTTTCAGCAATTGCCGAAGCAATTGACAATTTCTTGATTAGTTCTAACCTCCCAACAGAAGATTGCGTAGGCTTTGGCTTCGGTGGCTGTTCTAAAATGGCAGGGAAAGAGGGTGGCGTACAAGCCATTTTGAGAAAAAAATATCCTCGTGCTTTATATTTTCATTGCTCAGGCCACAAACTCAACCTTGTTGTGAATGATGCGAACGCAGTGCCAGAAATTAGAAATACTGTCGCCACTGTTAAGGATGTTATAACGTTTTTCAGAGAATCGACTACTCGTCGAAACTACGCTCCAAACCTATCACGATTGTGTGAGACGAGATGGTCCGAAAAATATAAATCAATCAGAAAGTTTTCTCAACATTTTCCAGAGCTTGTGAAATCTCTAGAAACGTTATCCGTAGAGGGAAATTATGCCACCAGAAAATCTGCATATCAGTTGCATTCAGCCGTTACAAAACCAGTGTTTATTGTTGCTCTACAAACAATAGCCAAATATTCAGCAGTTTAAGAACCAGTAGTTAACGCACTGCAAGCTAAATCGATCGACATGATCTCGGTGGGGGAACACATCAAAAATATCAAGGACATTCTCAGAAATGACCGCGAGTTTCCTGATAAAATAAGTAATGAAATGCTTGAAAAAGCGCGAGCTGTTGCAATGGATTTGAACATAGAAATTTCGGTTCCACGTCTTGCTCATAAGCAAACACATAGAAGTAATCCGCCATCTGACAATGATAACGAATATTGGCGGCGTTCTCTGATAATACCATACATTGATTCACTCATTTCATCGTTGAATATTCGATTCTCCCAAGAAAATACTCCGGCGTTTGCTTTAAGTAAGCTACATCCCTTGCATATGACCAAAACCAGCATTACAGACTTACACAAGAACGCAGAATCATTCCAAGAATTTTATAACCTGGATATCACTGGAGAACTGAACCTTTGGCATAATTTATGGATGAAGAATGCTTTATCAGATGATCAATTAAGGGATATAGAAGTAGTTGATCTGTTCAACGAAGCCAATATTTTTTACCCTGCTGTCAGAAAGGCATTGATTATTTTAAGCACTATCCCATGCACCACGGCGACCGTAGAACGGTCCTTCAGTACGCTTCGAAGAGTTAAAACGTGGCTTAGAAGCACCATGGGTGAAGAAAGGCTTACGGGTTTATGTCTGATGAGCGTACATCGCAATTAATTAAAAGAAAACAGTGAGTTTATTCAAAAGACTGTCTTAGACAAATTTTCGGCGGCAAATCCGAGAAGATTACTTTTAAATTAATATATGTGTATTATGATTATTATATATATTTAATATTTTGTTTTGTGTCATAATCAAACTAATTAATAAAAGTTAATTTTCATGATTTTTTGTTTCAATATACCCGACGGACCATCTTCTCGAAACAGGTATGAGCTGCCCCCTCCTAGCTGAAATCCTGGGTACGCCCTTGTTTGCGTGACAAAGTCACAAGCATCACTCCCCATCACACCTTCGGCTTGTTGGTCGCCACCTCCGGCAGCGACCAGCCTCAGGCGCAACGGGTCGCACGATGCTTGCGGCTTTGTCACAGCAGGCGGGGGCTGCTCTCCCTACGCGCCTCCGGGCTCTAAAAAACACTAGGGGTAGGGCAGACCAAGACCACGGCGCGTGTCGTGGTTAACCAAGTCGGTTCTGAATTAAAGATTGTTGTAAAGCCACATTTACCTTTACTATTTCTTATTTACCAAGTAAATAGCAAATATATTTTTTACCGACGAACACAGACTGACTGGCATTTCTCAAAACAAACAAAATGGCGGGACATCTGTCATTTTGACAATAGTACCAACATAATTTTTTTCCGTGTCTCTCTCACTACGGGATATTGGCGAAATTTCTGTGTGAAACGGAAACAGCCACAGAACAAAAAAAAAATTTTTTTACCACAGACAACGAGAAACATGTTATTTCTGCATGAAAAAATGGCAGCACTGATCAAAATGGCTGTCAAAATTGACTTTAACCTACAAAAATATTAATTTTCAATATATTTTTTTCTCCAGTTCTATTCATTTCCGTATAAAAAAATTTCGTGTACGTGTTCCTAATAATTAATACTTTCCGTGACAAAAATCTCAGCTCGGTACTCAACCACAACTAATGGAAAGCTGAGCCAAATACAGTCCTGACGAACCTTGTGGAACCTGTTTCTCATACCATGTTCAATAACAGGCACTGGGTATTCCAACAAGAGTCGGCGCCAGCTCATAGAGCGAAGAGCACGCAAAACTGGCTGGCGGCGCGTGAAATCGACTTCATCCGGCACGAAGACTGGCCCTCCTCCAGTCCAGATTATTTGAGTCCGTTAGATTACAGGATATGGCAACACTTGGAGGAAAAGACGTGCTCAAAGCCTCATCCCAATTTGGAGTCACTCAAGACATCCTTGATTAAGGCAGCCGCCGATATTGACATGGACCTCATTCGTGCTGCGATAGACGACTGGCCGCGCAGATTGATGGCCTGCCTGTATTCAAATCACGGAGGTCATTTTGAATAAACTTTATTGTCATAAGAATCTATGGTTTGTTAAGTTCATTTTGGTATATAAATGGTTACATAATGAATAACTTGTTTCAATTATTTTATATTAAACATGTGACATAATTTATGACCTGACTAGGTATTATTGAAAATATTAAAAGAAAAACCGTTTAAATAAGCAGCAAGCAAATAAAGTGTTTAATTGCTTTTGTTTATGAATGTTTTTATAAATGAATTATGTCAATGTCATAAAGACAGATGTATCTACTAATGTATAGGCTGTATGGACTTGTCCAAAGCTGTTAAATTTCTAAAAAAAGACAGGTTTTTTGGCGGGATTTCATTGAGTGTGGTTGGCGTCTTATTTTAATTATTCGTTCATAGTGGATATTGTGAAATAAAATTGGTGTGATTTTGTGTTACAACTGTCTGCGTAACTGAAGAATTAGTAGAATCGTCAAAATATACGCTATTCCGGTCAAGTGGACGTGAGAATTTTACTGTAGTATTGACTCCCCCACAGAAGCTTATCGAAAAAGCCAGCTCGATACATTTCGTGCCAAACACTTCAAGAAATATTAGAATGCGTCACACCGACATTCTAATGTAAAAAGAAAAACAGAATAATTTAACTTAAGACTAGGCTGTATGGGCATTGTTCCCCTTACCTTCGCAGAAAAGGGACAACTTAACCAAAAAAAAAAGACAGATGTGTCATGTGTCAGTGTCAATGTCAAATTGTCAAACGCCAATTTGTCAACCTGTGCCTGTGTTATGTTTGTGTGTACGCTGTGGTACGTAATTCTTCAAGTCGAAGAACACGAAGAATTTGCTTTATTCTGATAGACATTTCGTTATTTGTTAATCACAATGTCTGAAAATGTAAACATTGATCTATCCGGCGAGATAAATTCTCCACAAGGCTTGGAAAAGAAAGGTTTTCAAAAGTATGTCAATGATATGGAATTGTAAGTCTAACTAACTCTAAATCTCTAGCTACGTGGTTCTTCGCTTCGTATTCGATGTTATTAGAATGCTTATCAGATTCATCAAGCGCTGTTTCACCATGTAGCCAGTTTTGTATGGTATAATAGGTACACATATTTTTTTGCTATTCATTCATGTGCAAGTGGTTTTATTAGTTTTATGTATCAAGGGATATACTGTACTTTCAGGGCCCAAAACTATGAACTTCACAGTTTTGTTGGTTGTAATTTCTCATTTTTGTTGTTAAAAAGATTTCTGTTAACCACATTATTAAAAAAATTGTCACACTTATGCACTGGTAGTTTTTTAGAAAAAAATATTGAAAATTTTTACTTTTCTTATGAAGTGGTGATACTTCATACTAGGTTAGGTTAGTGTTGTGACCATAATGCGCGAGCCGAGCGAGCAAAGCGAGCGTGCCGCGGCAGCGGCCGGCGAAGCGCCAGAAAAAAAAAATCTGTAAAAAACACCTTTTCTACAAAAAAAAACAAGTATCACCTTTTGGGCCCTGGAAGTACAGTTTTACCCAAAATACATCATGTTCATCTTAGCACTTTTTAAATTTCTTAGTTATTAGGGAATTTTATGATTTTCTATAGCAGTATTGATTAGGACAGTATATTTATCAGCATCAACACCAATCTACCTTCCAATAGTTATTTAAATTGTCTAACATACAATTGCTTTAACATTTAATATCATCCATACAATTTTTATATTTTGTGTTTGTGTTTTCAATTGATGTGCTGTGTGGTCTAAATTATTTTATCAATAAGTTAGTAAATATTATAAGACCGCCCTTTGTGCAACTGTAATTGTTTTGCCTTGTTTTTGTATTTTATTCGTGTTCTTTTGTTACTGTTGTGCAATAAAGTGTTATTATCTTATCTTATATATGCAAATATTTCTGATTTGATATTAAAATATTGGACAAATAATTTATATATAAGGCAAGACAAGATGCAATAGGAATGTTATAAATACAATAATAGAAATGAGTAGCATACTTTTTGAAAGCAGCTGGTTCATTACACAACAATTTGCATTATGCAAAGTAAATAGATAAAAAAAGATGTGGCATCACAATATCACATTTTAAAATGTCATATTAATGAATCTCTGCAATTAGATATGTCATTAAATATGATGTCACCACTTTATTTGATATAGAAATATGTTAAAGTGTGCAATTACTCTGACAAGAATCACTAAATCTAATTAACTTTACCTGTTACTATTTGATACTGATGATGACCAACTGATCAATCAAATAAGCTTTAAAGTTAAACTGCATACTTAGGTACATAATATGTGGGATGAGCAAGTTCTCCTTTTTCAAATTTTTGTTCTCTGATACTATTTGAATGCATAAAGATTCTATGAGTATCATATTCAAAAAGCAAGAATGAAATTGAACACTAAGTGTGTGTTGATGTAAAATTTAAATATTTTTTATATATTAGGGTAATGCAACACCTCCGTAATGGTGCTGGTCCTGCCTTGTTGATGGGAGTTTTGGCATCAAGGAAACCATGGACACAATTTGTAGCTACTGAAAATTTTAAGGTGATTTTAATATAACAACTTTTTTTACCTATGAATTTGTAATGGTAATCTAATTTCAAATATTCTTAACCAACTTTGTGTCAAGTAAATTGATGATGGAAGTATTGCTCTGAAATATACCATAATAATCTCATTTCTATTGATGAATGATGTCAATAATTTATACTTGATATTATAGAGTCCAGCTTCAATACCAAGACTGACTCGTCGGTTTTATAGAAACCTCGAATACTTCCAAGCAAATTATTTGATGGTATCCCTGGGGCTGTTTGCTTATTGTTTGTAAGTAATCATACACTCTATTAATAATTGTAGTTGTAATTGTTAAACTTTAGGTTCCTTGTAATGGAATCTTGTGATTTCATTAATTTCTGGAATGACCAAAGTTAGACCAGCTGTTACATTTCTTGCAATTTCTAAGTCTAGTATCAGATAATTTCCATTATAAATAAATTAAGCTGATAAGCTGGCCTGTCATTATATTATTATTTTCTCGCCTCTGAGTTTTTTGGGGTTCAATCAATATCTCATTTGATGTTGTCCCAACCCCAAAAAGAATATAATAGTATACTATAGTTACATACATAGTGTTATCTATTTCATTTTTAATTTGTAACAAATATATTTTCAGAATAACATCACCTTTACTGCTTATAGCTATTGTTGCAAGTTTCTTTGGTTATAGAAAATTAACTTCTGGACCCAATACTTGGAAGGTGAGTGTAATTACTTTATTCATGTTATCATAGAGATATTACATATAGGTATATACATAGATCATTATGAAAATTATTTATAAATAACCTTTTTTTCAGATATTTAATTATAAAGTAAGTTTATTCATACCCAGTATGCACTCTATCTATTAACTTCGTTACTAATCTGGGGCGAATCTCGCGCGGGAATAGAAACAGATTTGCTCGCGTATTGCCGTGTTGAAATTCACACGTTAGTGGAATACTGATGGGCCATTTTCTTCTTTTGTTCTTCAAACCTTCAGACTCTTCTTCAGCTAAATACTGCTAATAATAGCAAAACTTCAGTTGCGATATTGAAATATCAACGCGCTAGAATTTGAGTCAGCTTGGTGTCTCAGATTATAGAAAAAAATGTTGTCCTCTTGTTCTGTAATGTGAAGAGAAAGTAGGCGAACGAGCAAATCATGCCAATGTGCGTGTGTCGTCCTGAGCGAGATACGCCTCAGTTTCCATAAAAAATTAAGGTGCCTCTTCTAATCTTCTCTTTTGTATTGTATTAGTTCCTTACATATGAAATCAGCGTTTTGTCGACCACTGATCTGAAATATCTCCTCTTTAGTTAAGAATTCCAAATTCAAATTAATAAATTTATTTAGCTGGTACATTTCAGTTTTGAAAACAGTCATTCATTTGTTTTTTTCCTCATTATTACCGCACAATGGAAAACATTAAATATCGGTTTATTTACGAATACGAGTTCTACCGTGGCACCAGTGCTGCAGAAACAGTTCGAAGGATTAATGCATGTGTTTTTGGTTTCAACGTTTTCGATCTGGAAATTTAGACCTTCAGAACCTACCCCGTGGTCGTTTAGAATTAAAGGCTAGGCGTTTCCACAATAGGAAGCGCATCCATCACAAAGCACTTCAGAGATAGCGGCAGGCTTCGGGGTAAGTGACAAAACTGTATTAATCCACTTGAAACAAATCGGGAAACTAAAAAACCTTGAATGTTGACCTCATGAATTGAGTGAATCGAACTTGCAAACACGCGTCGACTACTGTGTTGCTTTGACAACCGACACAATAATGAAGTGATTTTAAATCGAATCATTATTTGTGATGAAAAGTGGATACTGTACGATAATCGGAAGCGCTCGTCGCAATGGCTGAACCCTGGGGATCCAGCCAAATCATGCCCTAAATGAAAATTTATTTATAATAAGTTACTTGTGGGTGTTTGGTGGACTAGCGCCGGTGTCGTTCACTACAGCTTTCTAAAATCTTTCCAAACGATTACGGCAGATATCTATTGTCAGCAACAGCAAACCATGAAGGAAGAACTAGCTGGTAAACAACCGAGATTGGTCAATCGCTCTAGGCCACTGCTGCTTCACGACAACGCAAGACCACACACTGCACAACAAACAACCACTAAGTTAGATGAGCTACAGTTGGAATGTCTGCGACTTCCACCTTACTCCCCGGACCTTGCTCCAACAGATTACCCGGAATTTGGATAACTTTTTACAAGGAACAAAATTCAACTCCGATGCGGCGGTAGTCCAAACCGCCTTCAAAGAGTTTATTGATTCTCGCCCCCATGGCTTTTTAGCAAAAGGGATCAGTGAACTACCTATGAGATGGCAAAAGTGCAATTAAATATATTTTACAAAAAAACGACTTTATATTCCTCCTGTACAAAACGCCAATTTCATATGTAAGGACCTAATATTATGTTTAATACCTAATGAATAATTGCGTGGATTCTGTTAATCGAAATAGAATATGACTGAACATCCTGCATTACTATCTATAAGCCTTACTATCTTTTCTCATATTCTTCAATTTCCAAATTTTAGATTGGAAACTGGGAACTGACGAAAACTCAACAGTATATGGTGGCTGCAGGTGCTTCCATGGTCATCTGTTGGCTAGCTGGTGTAGGAGCTGTTCTATTCTGGGTTCTTGGTATATTTTTTTTATACAATATAGCTTAACTTAGTCACATTGTTAAGAGCTTTTACTACACACACATAAACTCTAGAATAAACGTGCATGACCAGTAAGGGAACCCCCTCAGCCTGACATGATTGCTCTGTAGACTACACAGAGGCATGAAAAAGCATTTGTGTAGGCCGATAAAGTGAGAATGTCTGGTGGTAGTCATTTTGGTAACCTAATTAAAGAAATAAAATCCTAAATACGCCATCCCATCCCACCTTATGTTGAGTGTAAGCGCAGTCCAGTCTCGAGGTTGATGAGACAAGAAAATGTGCCACCTTGCGGGCCTTAAACCCAATCCTCTACCTCCATGGAGCCCTGGAACTTTTTAAAAGATTTTGAGAGGGTTACGATCGGAACATTTGCTTTTCAAGTTGCTAACCTGACCCGGGACCAGATTTCAGGTCAGCCCCGTAGCATATATTAAAATTTATTAAATTAAATTAATAAATTAAATTATTAAATAAATTAAATTATATTAAATTCACACCGCGTTACAATAAAGAAGATAAAGCTTTTAATCGAAACTCAACTATCTAATTCAATAGAAGTTTGACAGCCAATATCATTAAATTGTCCTTGAAGAAATTCTTCCCATTATCTCCCACCTCCTAAACTGTTCAGTCTCAGATGGTATTTTTCCTAAGGCATGGAAAGACGCTCATATAATTCCCATACCAAAAAAGCCGAATCCTACCTCCTTTTCCGAATACCGACCCATATCCATATTGCCGTTTTTTTCCAAAGTCCTTGAGCGCCTTGTCCACAATAAATTAAGTTCCTTCCTTTGCAAAAATCATCTCCTAAATCCTCTTCAATCCGGTTTCCGCCCTGGTCATAGCACGACTACCGCACTCATCAAAATCACTGACGACATGAGACTAGGCATGGATAGCGGAAAGCTGACTGTGCTAGCCTTGCTCGACTTTAGCAACGCTTTTAATACTGTTGACTTTGATGTATTGCTCGCTATTTTAAAATCTCTTAACATATCTCCAACGGTGATTGATTTGTTTCATAGTTACCTGTATGGGCGCCGCCAGCGGATTTGCATTGAAGATTCCGTTTCTTCTTGGTGCAGAACAGCTGCTGGTGTTCCACAGGGTGGCGTCTTATCTCCTTTACTTTTCACTTTGTATAAAAATTCTATTTCTAATATTCTAACTTCATCCTACCACCTTTTTGCAGATGACTTACAAATTTATTGCCAGGCTCCATTAAACGAGTTGTCTGAGGCAGTGAATATCATTAATTTGGATCTCTCACATATTTGTGAATGGAGTAAGATGTTCGGCCTAAAACTAAATCCATCGAAAACTCAAGTTATTGTTATTGGCAGCCCTAAAATGATTTCAAGAATTGACTGGTCTCGATTACCAAAAATAAACTTTGATGGCGTCAATGTCACTATTAGCAAGTGTGTTAAGGATCTAGGCTTACATATTGATAATACTTTTGTTGGGGTCCACAGCTTCAAGAGGTTAGCCGTAGGTTGTTTGCATCTGCAGGATCACTTAGACGTCTTCGTAATTTTCTTCCGACTGCCACCAAAATTGCGCTTGCTGAATCCCTTCTTCTCCCTATTTTAGACTATGCTGATGTCTGCTACCTCGATGTCAATGAAGACCAACCAAATAAGCTTGAGCGGCTTCAAAACTTCTGTATAAGGTTTATATTTGGTCTTCGCAAATATGACCATGTATCTGATTTTCGCACTAAGCTCAAGTGGTTACCTATTCGCCTTCGCCGGAATGCACATATTGTCTCCCTCCTATATAATATTCTCTCTAATCCCAATACCCCGTCCTATCTCAAACAACGTTTTACATTCCTTCAGGACGCTCATTCACGAGATTTGCGATCGTCTAGTAATTTGAGGTTGGAAACTCCAATGCATTATACAAAATTCTATAACAAGTCGTTTACAGTGCATGCTGTTAGTTTGTGGAATGCATTGCCGGTCGAGATAAGACGTGCTAAATCTCTGAACATTTTCAAGAGTCTAGTAAAAGATCACTATCTGTCACTGTCTGTTGTAGTATAGATTCTTCTATTATTATTAATTTGCTATTGTTTACCATTCATGTTTTCCAAATTGTATTTATAACATTGCGTATGTAGTATGTGTACTATTGTTTATGTAGTATATGTATGTAAATTGTATGTAGGTTTATATATTATGTTATATGTGTGTATGTTTATTCTGTGTTTGTTGTATATATGTATCTCATGTTGTGCCAACTTCCCTCTAAGTTACTTGTTCCATGCTAATTCTGTCCATCCTAAGGTTGCCTGGAAGAGATCGCACACCGCGATAAGGCCGCCCATTGTACCAATTTTAGTATATTTTTGTTTATGTGATTTTATTGTTTGTTGGTGTACAATAAAGTATAAATAAATAAATTGCTTTATCATATCGCGGTTTGGTGAACATGCTGGAACCTTTTTGACGACGACTTTCGTGGCCGAGTGGTTTGCACGCTGGGTTTCCTGGTGTCGCCGAAATTGGTGTGAGTGTAGGAAATATTTATTTCTTATTATTTTTAACTTTTTAATCAGGGGGTTACGTTCGGAACGCATATATTTTGTTTAAAGTTCATATCCTGAGGCCTAAGCACTAATTCTGACGGCTCTGTAATCGTATCGTCAAAGAACATTGGGCAAAACTGTATGGACGCTGTACCCACGTCCGCCACGGCTTAAACTACATTTGTTTGAAAGGTATTATAGTCATGATCATCTGTGCCAAAGCGCATCAAATTCCATCCCGGGGATATTTAGTTATTTTAAGTTAAATAGGTACAAGTTCTATAAAGAACGAACATTAATGAAACAAAGGAATTAATTTAGTTAATTCGACCCTACATACAGTTCTCAGGAATTATGGGAGTACTTCACAATATGCAAGGTGCCCCCTTATGTTATTCTGCCGCGCTAAAGTAAATCCAAAAATCCCCGCATGGGTTGGGGTTTTTTCAAACAGTCTGTTCGTGATAGTAAATTGTCTTTTATGTAATACGTTCGGAACGCATATATTTTGTTTAAAGTTCATATCCTGAGGCCTAAGCACTAATTCTGACGGCTCTGTAATCGTATCGTCAAAGAACATTGGGCAAAACTGTATGGACGCGGTACCCACGTCCGCCACGGCTTAAACTACATTTGTTTGAAAGGTATTATAGTCATGATCATCTGTGCCAAAGCGCATCAAATTCCATCCCGGGGATATTTAGTTATTTTAAGTTAAATAGGTACAAGTTCTATAAAGAACGAACATTAATGAAACAAAGGAATTAATTTAGTTAATTCGACCCTACATAGAGTTCTCAGGAATTATGGGAGTACTTCACAAGGTGCAAGGTGCCCCCTTGTGTTATTCTGCCGCGCTAAAGTAAATCCAAAAATCCCCGCATGGGTTGGGGTTTTTTCAAACAGTCTGTTCGTGATAGTAAATTGTCTTTTATGTAAAACGGAGGGACCACAAATTACACAAACTTGTCCACGCTTCGGAGAAAACAGGATTACAGTTCATCCATTCAAATTGACAAAACCGATAATCGTGTTCCAATGTCCAAAGCGTGATAGATAAAAATCAATCAAGTGACAGGGAGCGCACAATCACAACGAAGTAAGGATAGTCGACTATTTGCAACTGTAAGTCGTTTAACCCCCGTAAACCGTTTTGAGGTGGCTTTGTCGTATATATGGTTGTATAGTACGATATGGCATATTATTATGGTTACTAATAATATAAAATGAAGGTACAAAAAATGAATTTATTAAGCTACTTAAATATGTGCCCATGTGTCATATCTTTTGACTACCAGGAGATTTTTTTACGGTGTCAATAAAAAAGGCTAGTTTTTCATAGATCTGGATGTGTTTTGCCCATTGTCCTTTTGTATGGAAAAAGTAGTTTTTAGTTTTCTTTGATGTCAAAATTCGTGCTTAGGCCTCTGACCCGCGATCGGATTACATTTGGAATATAATTGTTCTGAATCAGTCATAATATGTTGCCAGGTGCGACGGTCACCGTGGTGGCTTTGCACGCGAGTTTCTTCGACGCGGAATCGTTGCCGCCCACCGACGGCTCGGAACAGTTTGCCATGATCGAGCAAGTCTGACAGAACCAACTGCCACTGTTCTTGCCTCCAGAACTAACCCGAATTACGCCACCACAGCATACTCACAGTATACTCTCCTAAGTGTTCCTTAAACCGCTTAATAAATAAAATAAAACAGCGCGGCGGTTTAATACAAGAAAACGTTTATCTTTACGACAGAAAATAATTTTTGTACAGTGTTGCCATATTTGATTATTTTCGAATGGTAGAGAATGAAATGTTTTAAGTAAAAATAATAAAATAGACAAATAAGGCACATGTCGTTCAAGTAACTTTATGACGTCCCTGTCGTTTCGAACTTCATCTAAATCCACTTACTCACTGTGATGCGGTGATATTAGATTTTATTCATACGTGTTTTCTTTCTTTACATTACTAAACCATTATAAATGTACTTCACCAATGTAGGTTGATAACCAGTTGGACGATATTAAATGTTTCTCTATAGGTACTTAAGTAGTATTACATTAATGTTATTTAAATATTTGTTTAATAAAATTTGGCGGGAAAAAAACTATCATCCCATCTTCCGATCTAATTTATATCCATATCTCGGGTGATTAAATGTTGTTTATTGTAAATATTTACTATAATTTAAAATGTATTAGTCAATTAATTAGGTATTTTAAATCGGAAGTACCATCAACATCACATCAAGTGACAATGTAAAATTTCCTTAATGATTTTGCCCAGTATGTGCAAGAGTAAAGGATTAATTTGATTTCGAGTAATTTGATTCTATAATATTGGATTATTTGAAGATTTATTATTCAGAAATTCAAATGGTCATAATATTAATGAAACTGAGTGTAAATAACCATCTGTTTAATATATTTATATTTCTAATTGAATGAATTTTGTTTCATTTTATTAATATACTTACTGACGAACTACGAAAGCCCGTTAAAATAATTCTGCTGTGGTATGCTTGTGTAATAGATATATGGTGCCATTTACTGCTGCTCGGCTTGGCAACAATTACCAATGGTTATAAATAATGTATTTTAATTTTTATGTACTTGATGTTTCAGAACAGGAAAAATATTATTAATTCTTTGTTTAGTCTGTCCGTATGTAATTCAACGCCCCTTAAACGACTGAAGCAATTTAGATAAAATTGTGTGCAATCAAATCTATCGATCACCTGGATTATTCGACTCGGTAGGTGGCGCGGCAGTTTGTTTGACCAATCTATGGTTGGATCCTTTAGTGTTTATTAGAAGTACAGAAATCATCGTCTGTGGGTTAGAGCAGTAACGAGACCGTACGAGGCATGGAGGATCCGAGTAATATAGTGAGTTACATTAAAATCACAGAGTACCTTATTATAAATTAAAATGAAAGTTTGCGATCATGTGCGCGCATTTGACAAAACTAATGGCGTCGCTACGCGTCATTAAATATTAACTCAAATACAGTGCGATCAAGATTGCAATAACTCGGAACGAGTAAAAGGAAATATAAAAGGCTTATTTACACCTCCCTCTATAGACAAAAGGCTTATTTACACCTTCCTCTATAGATAAAAGGCTTATTTAACTTTCTCTACCGATAAAAGGCCTATTTACACCTTCCTCTATAGATAAAAGGCTTATTTACACCTTCCTCTATAGATAAAAGGCTTATTTACACCTTCCTCTATAGATAAAAGGGTTATTTACACCTTTCGCTATAGATAAAAAGCTTATTTATACCTTCCTAAGCTAGTTTCGATTTCGGCCACGCGCCATAAGATCTTGGTCGCACTGTACGGCTTGCGGTCGCACTCAGCAAAGTCAATTAATATAAGTTTGATTAGATAAGAATATTATAGGCCTACATAAAAAAAGACAAATTAATTGGATACACTTTATTACAACTATACTATAAAAACAAATAGAAAATAAAAAAGCAACTTTTATAAAAATCAATCCTATCACTTCCTCTTCCTTGAGTAGTAAATAGGGAATATGTTTTATAATTTAGATAATAAAAAATATTTGTTACATTTTGTTAAATACTTCTTTTTTGCTTTTAACAATTTGACACAGTTCCTTTTATCAGTCCACTCCCAGGGGTTTAAATACATCCTATTTATGTTATTATGCAAAGGCACTTTTTATTAGAAGTCATAGGGCAAAAGATTTATCTATAGACGCTCCAAGCACAATATTGAAAATTTCTCTTTGGGACTGACATTTATAAATCATATATGACTGGCAATAATCTAAATACATACATTTATTTATATATAGTATAGCATTTAATTCTATATATAATATGAATTATTGCAAAATAACCCTGACACTATAACATCCGAATAGTTGAATTTAAATCTAGGATTTATATAAAAAAAAACCTTTCTAGTAAAAAATATTAAGATGCAAAATTTTTAAAAGAAATTTTTACATATTTTCTGTAATTTTAGTGTACATTCCAAATACTAAATATACAGGATGTTACAGAATTCCGAAATAAAATTTGTAGGCATGTATTCCGAAATAAAACTTTGTAGGTATCTGAGCGGAGCGCAGGGGCGCCTGGGGGAGAGGGGGGGGGTCTGTTTAGGTAGTAGTAATCGTACGCATTTATAGGGTTGTCATAGGCAGGTGTAAAACGATATTTTTAATTAATTTAATTACAAAATAAAAGTCGTCTGAAAGGCGTCAAACTTTCGTAGGTAATTCTATACAAGGAACACAACCAAACCCTAAAGTTTTATTTCGGACTTTTGTCAGACCCTGTATAGGTATGGCATGAACTAATATAGTGTATTTTTATCTCAATGTCATATAAGTATTGACATATGAAACAACTCCCAATAGCCTTATAAAAATAGGGTGACTGGTGATACATCAACTTTACAGGTAACATTAACATATTTGTGCAAATTAACATGTTATGTCGTATTAGTACGATTCAATGTCATTGGATATGAGAGAGAAAGAGTTAGAGTACGAGAAAAGAGACATACACGAAGATGTGACACGTGGGGTGCACACATTGAGAGATATTTTGTTGTAGCTATTAATAATTAATCAGCAATACGGTAGAAAACGCCAACATAGATGCGTTATTTAGTTAGTTTAAACATAAAGGGACACCAAATGAAATCCGTGGGTACAATTACCTACCAACGCATGTGCGTTATTTTGCTTTCAACACTTTTTGAGTGCGAGTATTATTTTATACATCAATGCATCTATGGGATATTTACTGCAGTAATTATGTACATATTTATAAAAAGCACCAGATAGCAATACAGCAAGTTGCAGACAAAGTCATCCAAGAAATCTATTATCACAGCGGGCATTTTATTTAAGACATTTTGCCATAAGCTGGCTGGGTCTTGTTGGCATTGAGACTTGAGATCCAAAAATCAGATTGCCTATTGGGTTTAATGAACCAAGTTTTCCCATTTGCAAAATGTTAATCTAAGCATATAATGTTATTATTGTCAATAAATTGGCATTATAAATTTCACTATACATAAAAATTGATCTGTCTTATTTTTCGATGTACTACTGATGCAAGGAAAGAATAAACAATATTTCAATTAAATAAAAACATTAATAATTTTGAATGGACACCTATTATTGCTAAACACATTCCAATCTTTTAACCACTCTGAGATATAGCGCTGTCCCTTCACGGCAAAAGTTTAATATTTATAACCAAAATAAACCCGTTTGAAGTACTCAATGTCACTTCTATCGCATCGCAGAGTCGTGTTTCGGTTCATTACCCGCTCCAGACATAGCCTGTAGGATTTCCTCCCCTCTCACCCCTCTAAAATTATTTGCATAGAGCCCCGAATGAGTTAACTTACTTCAAGTATAATTTATGGACTGCTACAAACATTATACATTAAAAATTCTGACATGTCACTTATGCTGTATCAATCACTTTTTTATAGTGTAAATGTTCATTTATGTTTCTTTATACCTTTAATAAATATATACACATTTTTTTAAATATCCATAATGTCATTTAAATTTTTTGTCTTTTATATAGAATATATTTTTCAATTTAATCTCTATAATTATATCTATGAATTGCACTGTCTACATAGCTTAACAATCTTGTGTAACAAGGCATAAAATTTAGTCATAATTATTAAGGAACTTAATATTTGTTAAAAATATCTTAGAACAACATCATCAGCACCTGTTGAATCAAGATAATAAGATTTAATTAGATCTCAGAGCATAGGCTTACAGCATATTAAAAACAAAAATTATATCTAATAATAATACATAAAATTCTTTATATTCAAAAGACATTGAATTAGGCAATAAATATTTTTTGTCATAAATATTTCAAGTCATAATTTTATCTTAATGTAAGTAATATTAACTATAATCATAGAGACCCCCTGGAAGACAAAAGGTATATTTAAAATATGACTTTATATATGTATAAATAAGTCAGTCTGAATAAGAGGTTCCAAGCAAAAGATACTTTGCTAGTCACACATAAAATATCTTTTGATTTGGACAATCCTAGATTAGTAATATTACAAATCACAACAATTTGCCACAATTCATTTTAGTCAGTTCCATATCAGCCACAAGTAGGATGTCATTCCATTTGTGTGACATCGCTTCCATTGGTGCATTAACACACAGTTTTGTTTCTTTATAAGAATTTGGAGTTGTGAACTCCAGTTTTCGTTTAGACTTACCAGCAAACACATGGCAAGGTGATTGTTGGTCCAACACACTCAATGGTGTGATTGGCGGTGTGTAGAGAATAACTTCATTTGATTTTTTTACTTTAAAGGGTCCTGCATATTTAAAAACAGGTTTCTTCAATATAGAATTACCTGAAACTTTTTCAATGAGACCAACAGAAATGAACACATTAGCTATATCATAGAGCCTCCTGACTTTGGATTTGTGCTGCCTGTCTTGCTGATCGGGTGAGAGGGCTGTCCGATTGTTATTTGACGTGTCTATTAACACCCTTACAGCCATCTCCAGATTTATGAGTGTATTCTGTAAACAAAGATGATCCTGATTATTAACAGATTTCAAAAAGGACGAGGTTCTCAATTTGTCAGTATATAAATATTTTTTATTGTTGTTCTTGCATATTTTTTTTGTTTGTATCAGTTTTATTGATCAGCTCTATATGATCAATCAGCCTATGTACACATAGGATTTCAAAAAGATACCTTTATTAGTAGCATTCTAAAGTATCTGGCCACAGCCTAGACTACAGTTTCAATAAATTATATTAGAATATGATTTTGTACACTTACTTGTGGCTCGACCAAAAATAGCATAAGGAACCTTTGTGCCATAACACCAAGAGTTTTATGTTTCGGTGCAGGGGGTTTAGGAGCTTTACCACGCAATGCATCAGATAATTTCAGGTTTTCCCCTTCTTTCTTGAGCATTTTTAAAAAGGGGTTCAGTCTTGATCCTCCGTACCACAAATACGTATTTTTTCTCTTATGGACGGCACACTGCATTGCTTCGAGTATATTTATTATGTCATACATTCGCCTTTTCTCCACACCCAACCTGGCTGCTGTGCAATCCAGCTGGATTTCTATTGTCCCATTTCCGTGAAGAGGGTAAAGATCAAGGAATCTGAAATGTAATATAGAATATTAATTTACACCCTGAAAATATAAAATCAGTCAGGCAAGAAAATAAAAATAATTTATACCTGTCACAGAGTATTTGTAGCGATTTTTCTTTACGGTGTACAGTACTAGGGGGTGGCGTCGGATATTGGTTCGTGTTATGATTCACGAGATCATTCTCTTGTAATGCGACACTAGTCAATAACTTGAGGTTAGCATTTGGAGAAACATTATTTGCAGAGTTGGTTACTTCTGTGAGTGCGAAACGCTTAGGGGTGGAAACAATGTTTTCATTTTCATTCATTGTGTGAGCACATTATGTTTTTTTCCCGATGCACAAAATAATCGCGTAATTTTTGACAGATTCCTGAAGATCCAGTTGGTTTGGTTACCCACTCATTCAAAACTTAAGGCACAGGAAAATTATGAATTGAACTGTGTAAAATTTCTATTATTCACACGATTTTTTATGTCGAACCATTGCTATTTATGATCGAAAAGGTTTCAATGAATTATTTATAAAAATAACCTTGCAATGGTAAACAAATTTGACAGCACACTAATGCGCGCGATCGCGCGATTATTGTTTTTTTTAAATGTTTATTATGATGGTAAAAGCGTAAAGGTACCATACAGCCTAGATTATTGTTTTGTTTTATTTTTATTATGTTTAAGACAAAGAAAGATAAGTTTTCTTTCTCTAAGCATTTAAATATATATAATGGGATTCAACTAAGAATAGGACCGACAGGGCGCCATATTGTGACGTCATAGCTGTCGATTCAAACCAAATAGGTAGAGTGAGCAAAAATAGTAATGAAATAATAAAACTTATTTACTAAGATAGTGAGAAAAAATAACAGATTCTTTTAATATTTTTTTTTATTAAGACTGTTTGACAAAAAAATCATTAATAAATAAAACAGAATCTAGCTCTTCAATTCTGCTCATCTCTGCATTACCGCGCCGGAGCAGTAATAAATAATCATGCAGTATTACTAAGTCACAATATACGAACATGCATCCTTTGTGTAAACGAAAGTTTTAAATCGAGTTTATGAACGCAGCATAAAATGACATTTGGTTGATGATTTAGTTTATCAACCAGCCATAGTCAAAGTTCAATAAAAGAAAAAAAAGGTAAATTTAAAAAATCAAAAAACCCGACTGCTTAATAATACTTCAAATAAAAACTAAAAGAAAAAAACAACTCCAGTAGTCTATAATTCTGTTAATAAGGAACAAAGCTACTTTAACAGTCGGGACCCATTAGATATTCAAGAATACATAATATTTTTCAACAGTGGGTCCCGACTGTTAAAGTAGCTTTGTTCCTTATTAACAGAATTATAGACTACTGGACTTGTTTTTTTCTTTTCAGTTTTTATTTGAAGTATAATTAAGCAGGGGTATAAGGGGTGCCGCCTAACACCCAACGGCACCCAAGCCAACCTCACCTGCCCGCGGTGTACCCTGCCGACCAACGGACGAGGCTCTGGCGCTCCCCACCAACCCGCACTGGGCCAGCGTGGTGGGAGACGGCCCAAAACCCCCCTAAAATGATGGTATATAATAAGAGGCCCCAAGTGCCCGGCGGTGCTGGAGTCCGTGGCGGCGCTGACGGACACCGACTCGGCGCTGGGACCAGGGGGCCAATCGCCTAACTTTATTGCTTTGGAAAACGCTATCGCTTACGATTTCATTTTGTTATATCTGACCGCCGAAGGTTTTCAAATACCTCACGCTCATTTTATTTAATATTGTTATTGCCAATGCAAAAGAAAAAAAAAGAGCGCGAGGCATTTGAAAACCTCAGGCAGCTAGAAATAATAAAATGAAATCGTAAGCGATAGCGTTTTCCAAAGCAATCCGGTTAGGCAATTGGCCCCCAGGGGTGCGAAGAATCCCCGGGCGGCAAAAATCCCCCGTCAAACGACCTTGGCCCTGGCAACGTACAACGCACGCACACTATGAACCGAGGAGAAGCTGCTGGAACTGGAGAAAGAATTGAGCAGGATTCGCTGGAGTATTGTAGGACTATCTGAAGTCCGAAGAGAGGGCGAGAACACGATGGTCCTTAAATCCGGCAACCTGCTCTATTTCCGGGAGGGCGAAGATCTGTCCCAGGGTGGTGTCGGGTTTGTTGTCCACAAGTCTCTCATGAAAAATGTTGTACAGATCGGTAGTGTGTCGAATAGGGTGGCGTACCTTATACTCAGAATCACCAAACGGTATTCGTTGAAGGTCATACAGGTATACGCTCCGACCTCGACGCACCCCGACGAGGAAGTGGAAGTCATGTATGAGGATATTTCTCGGGCAATGCATGCTTCCAGGACCCATTACACCGTTGTCATGGGGGACTTCAACGCAAGGCTGGGCAAACGTGGCGATGATGAGTTGAAAGTGGGGCAATTTGGAGTTGGAATCCGGAACTTCCGAGGTCAAATGCTAGCCGATTACATGGAGAAGGAGGGACTCTTTATGATGAACTCCTCCAGAAAACGGCTGCATCGAAAATGGACCTGGAAAAGTCCGGATGGCGTGACAAAAAATGAGATTGACTTCGTCATGTCGACTAAGACTCGGATATTCAATGATGTCTCAGTGATCAATTCGTTCAATACGGGAAGCGATCACCGAATGGTAAGAGGCACATTGAATCTAAATGTCAAAGCCGAAAGGAATCGACTGATGAAGTCCACGCTCCGTCCTGAAGCCATCCAGATCCAAAACCCCGAGCGCTTTCAACTCGAACTGTAAAATCGCTTCGATTGCCTAGAGAGCTGCGTAGACGTGGACAATTATAATGACAGGTTTGTTGAAGCTGTCCTTACGGTGGGCTCGAAGTTCTGCAAGCCCATCCGTACCAAAAAACGTAGCAAGATCTCGGAGCCGACTCTCAAGCTCATGTAGAAAAGGCGTGAGATGGGTCTGCAGTCCTCTGAAGATGCACGTCGGCAGCTCAATAGGCAGATTTCGAAGTCTCTGACTCGCGACATACGCCGCTTTAATACTGATCGTATTAAAGAGGCCATCGAGCGGAACAAAGGCTCGAAAGTGTTCGCGAGAAATCTGTCTCTTGGACAGAGTTTGCTGACGAAGCTGAAGACAGAGGATGGCAGAATCATTTCGTCGCAACCTGAGCTTATGGCTGAGATCGAAAGCTTCTACGGACAGCTATACGCGACATCACGAGTACCTGTCACAAAGGCGACCGACCCAAGAGCCAAATTAACCCGACACTACACCCAAGATATCCCGGACGTCAGCCTGTACGAGATTAGTGTAGCTCTGAAACAGCTCAAAAACAAAAAGGCGCCGGGTGATGACGGAGTCACAGCCGAGCTTCTAAAAGCAGGTGGACGACCAGTCTTGAAATCTCTTCAGAAGCTATTTAACTCTGTCATACTCGAGAACGCCTAGCGCATGGCATAGGGGAGTGGTGGCGCTTTTCTTCAAGAAGGGCGACAGGGCCCAATTGAAGAATTACAGACCCATCACGCTCCTGAGTCATGTATACAAGCTGTTTTCGAGAGTCCTCACGAATCGTCTCGCGCGCAGGTTTGACGACTTCCAGCCTCCCGAACAAGCCGGATTCCGAAAAGAGTTTAGTACCGTAGACCACATCCATACGCTGCGGCAGGTTATACAGAAGACCGAAGAGTAAAACCTGCCATTATGCTTGGCGTTTGTGGACTACGAGAAAGCCTTCGATTCGATCGAGACATGGGCCGTGCTTCGGTCACTCCACAGGTGCCAAATAGACTATCGATACATCGAAGTGTTGCAGTCGTTGTATGAAAACGCCACTATGTCAGTTCGACTCCAGGACCAAAACACGAAGCCAATCCAGCTGCAACGTGGTGTAAGACAGGGTGACGTTATATCACCGAAACTGTTTACAGCTGCGCTGGAAGACGTTTTCAAACTTTTGGACTGGAGCGGACTTGGCATCAACATAAACGGCGAGTACATGACGCACCTTCGATTTGCAGATGATATCGTAGTCATGGCTGAGACCATGGATGACCGATGGCCGTTGGGGCGGAAAGGTCCTCGAGTGGCGACTGCGTACCGGGAAACGCTGTGTTGGCAGGCCCCCCACAAGGTGGACCGACGATCTGGTAAAGGTCGCGGGAAGCCGCTGGATGCGGGCAGCATGGGACCGATCGTTGTGGAAATCCATGGGGGAGGCCTATGTCCAACAGTGGACGTCTTTCGGCTGAAATGATAAGCAGTCGGGTTTTTTGATTTTTTAAATTTACCTTTTTTTATTTCACACTTTTTAGTTAGTTAGTATTTTAAGACGGTATATACCGTAGTTTTGTTACTTCAGTAAGGGAATTAATATCGCGGGAATTATTAAGTACCTTGCGTCAGTCTGAAAGATTGATTTATTAAGACATATAAAGACTTTACCAGCGGGGTCAAGGCTACAGATGGGCCTCAATTTTCGCAATAATATGTGAAGTTAAATCAAGTCGTTACATAAATATCTCTAATGTATGTAAATTTTATAGTAAACTAACACTTACTCAAAGAGTCATCTTTTGTTTATGCTTTTTTTAATAGTTTAGCAGTAAATATAAAATTCATTTACTTTCGTCGACTATTTAAAATTGGCAGTGGCTGCATTGTCATGTCAATGCCGGACGTCTAAGATTGTGATATACACAAATTCAGTGTCAGTCCCTAGTCTCATAATTTGATATACCTACATAATTCACAGAAAGCCAATATGTAGATGCCAGAAGTTAACTTCAAATGTTTTTTTTAATCACCCTATATACAATACCAATCAATGACGTTTATGTCACAGGTTGAAGAAAGCAGTAACTCACGTCTGTTGTTTTGGACAATGGTGGCAACTGCCTCAGATCACTAAATTAACTAATTATGCAATCACCAAAGCAAAGTTTATAATATTTGATTAAACTAAAGGCGCATAATTAAATTTTCATAACGTTAGGTAGAGCACCATAGCAATCTCATTTATTATCAATTTATAGTTCTCTTTGTAGTTTTCTTTTAAAGCGTTCACATTTAACAGGTGAAAGACTTTGTGTTCGACCCTTTTTTATTGGTAGTGTCAAGCTCGAATGAAGAGTAAGCACTGTTAAGCACAAATGCTAAGTAACTTTTACAAATATAATCAAATAAACCTATTACTTACTTTATTTTTAAATCTTTTTCATCAATTAAATACTTATCTTATCCTAACTATTTATACTAATATTATAAAGAGGGAAGATTTGTATGTTTGTAACAAATAATCTGTCAAACTACTGAACCGGTTTCAAATATTAATTCATCATAAGGTAGCTACATTATTTATTATAACATTTTTCTTTATTTAAATACATTTTGTCCGAGTGACATAGGCTATATTTTATCCCGATAAATAAATTTCGCCCGTACAATGCCCGGGTGGATCACTAGTAAGTATAATATAATATTATAGATGCGAAAGTGAGTTTGTTTGTTGCGCTTCCGTGCCCTAATAGCTAAATCGAATATAATGAATTCCCATATAGAAGTAGATGGGAACTTGGTTCTTAGCTACAACATCGCAATACTTATAGGCGTAGGGTGATGAAAGGGGTGATTTACTTATAAAAATCTACATTATTTACTTTGAATTTTGCAGAATAATTACAAAACCAATATTATCGCGAGCAGATTAATTAATACAGGGATTCCAATAAGTATGTACTTACTAGCGAAAAATGGGTTATTTGTCATTATATTAAGTAAACATTTTTTGTAACATTAAGTAATATCGTTAAAAAAAATGAAAAACAGTAAAATTCTGAGTTTTCATTAAAATTCAATAATCATAAATACCTATTATGATAATATATTTTTCATCATTCAATAAGAAGGAACTGTATCACAGTTTTATTGTTAGTACTTCGTATAGGATCAGATACTGCGAATACCCCATTTTTTTTCTTTTACATAGTACACCGCGCTATCACTTTGTCATCGTTGTAACTTTTTAAATATTTGTCGAAATGACATACTGTAAAAAGCAAAGTTTATCTTCTTTAAATAACAAAAGCGATAAAAGTATTTGTTTTGATAAAAAATGATTTGTTAATACAAAATGTGCATTTTGGAAATAGATATCAAATAATATTTTAGTTTTGATTCACTATTTTAGCGGTAATGATTTACACATTAAAAATAGATATATGGTGTCACGGATTTTTTTTTAGAACTATTTAAGAGATACATTTTCACTCTACATTACATTCATGTAACTTTTATTGTTTTTGCAGTACGCCAAAATGGCTCGCAAATGGGAGATTTTTTTCCGTCTTATGTGACACTTATTGTTATATATTGGCCAATTCACTGAATAACTAAATAAATTATTATATATATGTAATTATCATATATGAGCTATATTACTGTTAAGTTTCATGAAAATCCATTCAGTATTTTTTAGGTGAAAGAGCAACAAAAATCCATACAAACGTAAGATTAAAATTAAAAGCGTAAGTGGTTAATATACAAGTTTAAAGCGTTGTAGATCCTAAACAATCATATAAAATGAAAAATGGTGTTAGAAACCTAAATATGATTTTTGATTATCTAGACAGTGATACCCCACTCGACATATTTTGTCAACTTATTTTTTTTACTTCGTCACAATATGGCGCCTAATTTTGCCCATACTGAATTTTGATTACTATCATATCTTTAGTAGCACCCCCATGATTGAGACGAATCGATTGATGTATGAATCATCAAAATCGGTCCCGGCGTTTGGTCTCTAGTGTGCCACAAAGGAACAAACATACATATATAGACTGTTAAACACATAACCCTCTCTGCGCGTCGCGCTTCGCGCTCTTGCATTGCGCAGCCGGGTAAAAAGCAAAGTATATCGTCTTTAAATATCAAAAGCGATAAAAGTATTTGTTTTGATAAAAAATGAATTGTTAATACAAAATGTGCATTTTGGAAACAGATATCAAATAATATTTTAGTTTTGATTCACTATTTTAGCGGTAATGATTTACACATTAAAAATAGATATATGGTGTCACGGACTTTTTTTAGAACTATTTAAGAGATACATTTTCACTCTACATTACATTCATGTAACTTTTATTGTTTTTGCAGTGCAGGCCAAAATGGCTCGCAGATGGGAGATTTTTTTCCGTCTTATGTGACATTTATTGTTATATATTGGCCAATTCACTCAATAACTACATAAATTATTATATATATGTAATTATCATACATGAGCTATATTACTGTTAAGTTTCATTAAAATCCATTCAATATTTTTTAGGTGAAAGTGTAACAAAGATCCATACAAACGTAAGATTGAAATTAAAAGCGCAAGTGGTTAATATACAACTTTAAAGCGTTGTAGATCCTAAACAATCATATAAAATGAAAAATGGTGGAACCTAAACATGATTTTGGATTATCTAGACAATGATACCCCACTCGACATATTTTGTCAACTTATTTTTTTTACTTCGTCACAATATGGCGCCTAATGTTGCCCATATTGAATTTTGATTACTATCATATCTTTAGTAGCACTCCCATGATTGAGACGAATCGATTGATGTATGAATCATCAAAATCGGTCCAGGCGTTTAGTCTCTAGTGTGCTACAAAGGAACAAACATACATATATAGACTGTTAAACACATAACCCTGTCTGCGCGTCGCGCTTCGCGCTCTTGTATTGCGCAGCCGGGTAAAAAAACAAACAATATTAATTATCAATATTTGTTCTTGTTTGTTAACAAATGTTTGGTTTTTATTCTAGAATTAGCTGAGTGCTAAAAAGGATTCCAAGATTTTTTTGCAAATCGTACTTTTCAAGCGATATTTGACAAATGGAGGTCATTCGTTTTTTTATTCTTATTTGAATCGCACCATAGTTTCCTTTTTTAAATGATTCATTAGAAAATTCTCTGAAATATTCTTTGTGAAATATCGTTAAATATTTGGATTTATTTTTAAGCGGCAGGCAATATCTTCTGACAAAATAGGTAAGTATTTTGGCATCGGACAGTTTTTAAATCGATTCTTAGAGATTCAACTGATTGGCCATACGATATTGTTATTATCGATAGTCTGATTTAATAAATGCTGCAACTGCAACACAACATTACTAGTCTACCTACACAATACTCTGTGGCATCGGCATCATGTCATGGCTGAAGAAGCTTGATTTCTTTCCTTGCAAAAGTGAGCTTGGTTTTCTTTGAAAGTGAAGATTACCGTCAGTGGTTTGACTTTTATTTACGTTTGATTTGCCTAGAAATCATATGTTTTCTAATATTTCTTTGCGTGAAATATATTATAAGTAGTAATGATGCTTTTGTAGTAGAAGACGGAAATCATTTGAGACAAAATGAACGACGGCGATTGGATTTGCAGTGATCCGAATTGCGGGAACATTAATTTCGGGCGTCGTCTTTCTTGTTATCGATGTAATAAGGAAAAGCCGGAAAGTACTAAACCTTTCAAGAAGAAACTTGGCACTGAGATTGGCAAGTCTGCTGCCGAGAAATCTCGTGGCCTCTTCAACGCAGATGATTGGCAATGCAACAAATGTGCTAACGTGAACTGGGCCCGCCGGCAAACATGTAATGTTTGTAACGCACCAAGATTTGGCGAAGTATGTATGACGAATGTTTCTTTTTGTGTATCATAATTTTCGGTTCATGATCTACATAAACCATATTTCGTAGTCTTATTTTTATCTAAAGACAGGTAAATTGATTGTGCCTTAAACAGAAAAAAACCAACCACATAAAACCAATGCATTGATTACCCATACAATTTATAAGATTAGCCTCTAAGCTAGTAGTAGTAAAATTACAGAATTTATAGGCTCTTTTATTTCAAAATTAGTAATGTGGAAGACATACTATGTTAATTCAGTAAAATAAGTATTAAGGTGTAATAAATGTAACTGCATTGCTGAAACTACCCAAGATCACTGCAGAAAAAATATTTCTATCATCAATTATTATTATAAAATCTCAAGTGTTGAATATTTTTTTATGAAATTTACTAATTTGCGGTTTGATGTAATGCTGGCATTTATCTGTTTGTGTCTTCTTTTTGTAAACATGATATCAGTCTGTCCTTCTCATTCCATAAGAAGCATGATTAGGACTGAAAAGACTGTTGTCAAGTTTACATACAAATACTTTACATGTAAATACTAAGTGAAGTGCCAGCATTACATCAAACACCACCTCACATTAGTATATTTTATTAATCGTGGTTAAAGAAATTGCAAATAAAACATTGTTCAACAGATTTGTTTCTTAGGTTTTATTTATTGTTCAACAGTTCATAATCTGGCATATTGTGGAAAATTTGTAGTTTGTGGAACATGTCAGTATCTTATAAATTTAATGGGTGTAATGCATTTGTAAATATATCTTGAAATTAGCTGTATTATCATTTTATATTTGTTTGTAGGTTGAAGCAAGGACTGGATATGGGGGCGGATACAATGAGCGTGGAGTAGTAGAATATCGAAGGAGAGAATCTTCCTCAGATGATGAATATGATGAATTTGGGAGGATAAAACGCAAACGCAAAACAGATTCAAAGGATAAGGTATGTTTCTTCATCTACTACAACTAATACCTTACATTGTCATACTACACATCACAAATTTATAAAACATTCTTCAGAATTCATAATCTGCTTTTCTTTGCTTATTTTATGATAAATTCAGGAGATAATGGAATTTGAAGCTAAGAAGATGTTAAATTAAGTGCGCTAAACTTTTGAAGCACATCATTATTAAAGTGGAGATTATTTTTCCTGCCTTCAGGTTGGCATCACTGAAGGAGCAGCATTCAATAAGTTGCCACCAACAATGTTGCAGATGGATTCAAAATTGGAACATACCATTCCTGAGCCTTCTTCAAATTCAAAATATAATAGAAAAGAGATAGAGAAAACGAAGGGTAGTTTAAGTGATGGTTCTGTGTGTGAACTCCCCCCTTTGTCTAAAGTGGCTTTCAGGAGATATCAGCTTCAAAATCAAACAAGTTATCATAGGCAAGATCACATGCTTCCAGGTTATAAAGCAAATAACATGCAATGTCGTAAACGTTATTCCAGTATTGGTGATAAGGATCACACAGCATCCTCAGGCTACGAGACTGCATCAAAAAGAAGTAAGAGGGATAGCAGTGGATCTCCAGTCAAAGGAATGAACCCTGTAATGGAAAATAGAGTAACATCAACAAACAATGATATTGTCTATAAATTCACAGGCCCTTCTCCAGCAGACAACTTTCAAGTAACTTACACACTTGAAGAAAGAGTGCGAGCTGCTGCATTTGCTCTTGTTTATAATAATTGTAAAATCAGTACTGACAGGTTTGAATCAATGTTCGATAAGCCTGCACCAGATTTCAAAACAATATTTGCGTGGCGACAACGACTTTTATCTACAGGTTGTTTGGTTGACAGTCACCTAGTGATCAATAAAGACACTGAAAAATCGGCTCCTGTAAATAACAATGTTAGCACTAAGAAACCTGTAGTTAATAAATTAGCAAATCCAGATGAAATTCCTATTATATCTGATAGTGAGGATGATTGTCCTAAACTCTCTCAAGTGCAGAGTAAATTATTACCATCTTCAAGGCAAAGAAGTATGAGTGCAGAAACATTGTTAATAGGTGCTTCTGAAGAGAATAGGCTGGCTGGTAGTTCAGTAAGCACTGTTGAAGAACGAAGATCACAAGCAAGAAGTCGATCTGGGTCAACTCATCAACGGACCCGATCTAGTTCACGTGACAGTCAAGATTCTAACTACCCGGATACTGATTTGGAGCAGTCAGACAAAAAGGGCACTGATACAAAAACTAATAATACTAACAAAACTAATATACCATCAAGAGTATCTGACCATGATTCTGGCTCAGACTCTATTTCATATCACAGTGATGAGGATAATTTCTTGTCTAGGGTTTATGGGGAAGGAAAAAAGAAACGTAAAGTTAAAAAGCGCCCTATACCAACAGTATCTGCTAAACCTGTAGGTTATGGAACAGTAGAAGACAATAATAGTTTTTCAGGATACAGTACAGTAAAGCCAACAGATAAGTCGCCTTTAGCTACGGGGAATATTTACACTACTAACTTACGTAATATGAATGTTAAAAATGACGTAAATGTTGACACTGATGGATGTTCAAGTGAATATGTACCTTCAAAATTAGGCTCTAGTACTAAAAATTATGAAGAATTTAAAAATAATGTAAGGAAGAAGGGATATTGGGCAAAAGGAAATGGAAGAGCTTTAGGGAAAATGGGTAATATGTCAAGACCAATGTGCCAAACATTTGGTAGATTTTCAAAACAAAACTTTTCTACACCTACACATGGATACATGTCTGTCCAAAAACCTGCTATACTTCCACCGCAACCATTGCCAACAGTCAACAAAAATGAAGATTTCACCGAAAATAATTTGGATAGCTTTACACTACAAGATCAGTATTTGCCTTTTGATAAATCCTTACAGGAAATCTCCACAGCTGTGCCTGAAGAAACATCACGTATTTTCGACGTGGTCCAATCCAATTCATTCACCAAAAATCGAAGCATTTTAGATATTTTTAATGACCAAAATCAAGAAGAAATGAGTCCAGAGAGAAATGATGATTTAGAAAAATATACTAATGCTCAAAAAGCTTTAGAAACTCAATGGGATGATGATGATGATGCTCTCTACAAAAACTCTGATACAGATAATGAACAGACACAAATTGAACAGCAAGTACATCCACAACTATCAATGAATAAGGCTGAAAGTCCTACATCAAATATGTTATATGCTTCAGACAATGAAACACAAGTACAAAGTTCACCTACCACCGCCCATCACCTAAATTTAACGCCACAGATTATTAACAACAAACATGATGCACTTGTAGGGCTTTTGAAGGGTATACAAACTGTGAAAGAAAAGGATACAGAAATTATTACCATATTACCAGTTGTTGAACAACACACCTTTGCACAAAACACATTGATTGATCAATTTCATTCCCCACAGAAGTTCTGCAAAGTAAAAACCACACAACCAGATCCAATACCATTGGAGATTTCTAATGATAAAATGAGCATGTCTGAAGAGCATGTAAACAAAGTTTCTCCAGATGACACTTCAAAAGTGACAAATAAGAAAAAAGTGCATATATTGGAATCCATTACTATTCATCCTGGTAATAATTTTGAACAAAATAAATCACTCCATTCAAATGCTAACTCGGAACAGAATAAATTATTTCTGCATGACCAAAATAACATCATGCAACAACAGGCGGTCTCATCAAACCACAATGATATTGTTAAGATACCACAAGAATCAGAACACAAAACAGAAGAAATCCCTTTGCCAATCACAACTGAGCAACCAAAACCTGTTCCTAATATAGATTTCTCAAATTTATTGGTTGGCATTAATGCTAACACAATCATGTTGGCTCTCCAAAATCTACAAAATATTAATCAAGGGTCTTTAGTCCAACCTGTGAAAGAAACCAATGAAACTAATGATAACAATGTTGATGAATCGGAGCATGTTGAGACTATTAATTTAACAAATGATGAGGAATGGGAGAAAGAGTCCAATGATGATGGTATTGAAAGAGAATTACAGAAATTAGATGGAAACACTGGTGACACTCCTTTTTTAAGTGATATTTTTGATCCTGGACCAGTTGTCCCTCCAAATATGACCAATAAGCTTAACATAAATCTCAAAAATCCTGACAGTAATAAATCAGAATCACTAAATTTACATTTACATGATAATGCTCCAGTAATTGGGAATTTCAAAAGTTTTGCTTTACCAAAGCCAATATTACTTAATAGGTTAAAATTAGCAGTTAAACCCTCTGATTGCACTAAAACGCGATCTACGAATGGGATGAAGAAAATTAAGAAAAAGGTTTGTATTCAAATTACATGTGTATGCCTAAATATTATTAATGAAATTTAATGGCTTCCACAAACTTGAAGCAGTACTTTTTATAGATTTTATCCAAAATGTTTCTTTTTTGGCTGTACACAGCTATTCCTTTTTTGTATTAAAAAACTACAAAGAAAATAGTAAAAACAAAATTTGAAATAGTTACTTTGTATTTTTATGCCTGTTAGGAAGAAAAGTGCTCATGAAACATTCCAATCAACATATAGTGCGATACAAACTTAGCAGCGGGTGTGAAGTTAGTACAAGTCGCGGCGCAGTAAACGAAATATAGCGTCATGTCACACAACTGAAACGTTAAACAAAACAACAAGCTTTGCTTGTATCTAACTTCACAACCGCCGCAAAGTTTCTATACTATTTATGTATAAAAGAATTAAATTCATTGAAGTGTTGAAATCCTGAGTGAATATTTTTGATGGCATCTCTTGTTCCAGAGCAAGTCATCAACATCCCAGAATGAAGAAGGTGAAGAAGACGAGGAAGAAGAGTCAGGTGATGAGGCAGACCTGGCAAAATATGACTTATGGGGAAGTGATACAGAGGGAAATTCTTCTAAAGCAGGTATGTAAGGAAATATTTCATTTGGTTGTTGTAGTTAGGGAAATGATTTAGAGAATGTGTTACTATTTGTTATTTTACTTATTTTTCCATTGTGTTGGTAAAGATAATTTATAATGTATACTTTATTGTAAAATTATTAAGAAATACCTATTCTTCAATGGTGTGCCGCATACAAGTAATTAGAAATGATATGTATGCATTTCTCTCTAACAAAGGCTGCTAAAACATGGGTCCAAACTCATACCACTAAAATTTAATAATAATGCGACACGCGCTCAGAAAAATAAATATCTGACAAATCAAATAGCCGCAAATGAATTCGGCTATCCTTTCATTGGGTAAGATAATGTTGCACGAAATCACAATCAATCCCATGATCGCCGTGTGGACCGCATTTTTTTCGCGCCGTCCACTTGATCGCAGTTTGCTTGGAACCACTTTTTAGCGCAGTTCGCATTTCATATCAATTCTAATTCGTGGGCCGCATATGTAAAATATAATAATGATCCATAATAGCATAGGTAATGTGATAAATGTAAGATTGCTTGAAACAAATAATTTGGGATATTTTAGAAAATGCTGATAAGTCCAAAGAGGGTGAGACTTCAAAAGAAGCACAAGATAAAGAAGATAAAAACGGGAAATCTGCATCCCCAGACACAAAAAGCAGCAAGAAGAAAAGGTAAGTTTGATTTCTGTGTTTTAGTTTGTGGTTATCACTAATTTCAGCGATCTGGTTATTATAAAATTTTCCTATTGATGTGCTTACTGATAGAAACCTTAAGCTTTTTTAATTTATTATGACTGCAGTATTATAAATTGTAGAGCACCCTTGAATATCATAATAAAATAAAGTAAATATTATAAATATTTTCAGCTCAACTCACTCTTGTTTTCTTTCTCAGGTCTCGGAGCTCATCATCTTCATCGAGTTCATCATCAAGCTCCAGTTCTAGTCACAGTTCAACAAATGCACCAAAAAACAAGTAAGTTAACCTATACATTAATATAAACAGTATTTCAGTTGCATTAAAATGCTTAAGTACCTAAGTACACTACTTAATTTATACCTCTATTCTATATTATCGAGTCGACTTTATTGCTGTTATTAATTGTTAGTTTAATTGAAATAAAAAAATAGCATGTGTCTGCGACTTCGTCTGGTTAGTTTCTCATACAAAAATCCATTGCCAATTTTATTCCCTTCAAAATTATTTTCATGAAAAAAGTCGACAATCGTTTCCAGGTTCTCTCATATCTCTACACAAAAAATCAGCATAATCGATTCGGTGATGTAGGCGTGAAAGCGTAACATACAAACACATTCGCCTAAGTACCTATTTCTAATATGTATTAGTCAAGGTTCAATAGATAAGAGCAAGTAAAGATCTTGATTTTTTTTCACAGATTCGATGATTTCAACCTAAACAGCGAAAGAGAATCTTCGCCGAAAGGTCGCAAGTCTCGTTCGAGGTCGCCTCGGTCGAGGTCAGCGGGCGCGCCTAGTAGGCACAAATCACGCGACAGCCGATCTGCAGGCGAATCCAGGTAAGATATCTAGTGTTGATTTGTACCTACACACTGTATACACGTACAGTAGGACGCCGATTATCCGAATTAATTGGGACCGGGGTCGATACGGATAATCGGACATAGACTCGTTATAAAGAAAAACCTTAGTAAGTTTAACAAACACAGTTCTACAATACTAAATACAATAATAGAGGTACATAGTAGCAAAAAAAAAAACGCGCGACGCAAAACATGTAGTATCTTGGCATCAAGCTTTCAACCATAATAGTTGAAATATATAAGGATTCCAACGAGTTCCAACATGTTACAACTAAAGAAAACGAAACTAACTTGCTTTTAATTTTTTATTTTACGCTTAGGACCGATTCGGATAGTTGGCGATTCGGTTAATCAACGTTCGGATAATCGGCGTACTACTGTATTTAAAAGACAATGGGCAAAACATCCAGCTCCGCCAACAACGTTATTAGTATGAATCGATAGATCTATAAAAAACTAGCCCTTTTTATTATGAAACCTAAAAAAAATATCGCGATAGTCAAAAGATATGACACTAAAAAAATAAACTGGTAGTCAAAAGATATGGCAAATGGGCATATTTAAGTAGCTAAATAAATAAATTTTATAGTTCCATCATTTTATATTATTAGTAACCATAATAATAAGCCGTCCTATACAACCAGATATACGACAAGCCTGCCGACCATTCTGCGCTTGCAATTTTGAGCCACCAAAAAACGGTTTACGGAGGTGTAAGGACTTGCAGTTGCAAAATGTCGACTCATCTTACTTCGTTGTGATTGTGCGCTCCCTGTCACTTGATTGATTTTTATCTATCACGCTTTGGACATTGGAACACGATTATCGGTTTTGTCAATTTGTATGAATGAACTGTAATCCTGTTTTCTCCAAAGCATGGACAAGTTTGTGTAATTTGTGGTCCCTCCGTTTTACATAAAAGACAATTTACTATCACAAACAGACTGTTTGAAAAAACCCCAACCCATGCGGGGATTTTTGGATTTACTTTAGCGCGGCAGAATAACACAAGGGGGCACCTTGCACCTTGTGAAGTACTCCCATAATTCCTGAGAACTCTATGTAGGGTCGAATTAACTAAATTAATTCCTTTGTTTCATTAATGTTCGTTCTTTATAGTACTTTACCTATTTAACTTAAACTAACTAAAGACCCCCGGGATTGAATTTGATGCGCTTTGGCACAGATGATCATGACTGTAATACCTTTCAAACAAATGTAGTTTAAGCCGTGGCGGACGTGGTTGCAGCGTCCATACATTTTTGCCCATTGTCCTTTAAAGTAAAAAAACAATTGTAGTATGAGGCCAAATAATCTCCGTGTATGCTGTTATAGGCGTGGTAGAAAATACTAGTTATTAGAGATTTGGGTTGCAGGTCTATAAAAATGTATTCTGGGATTAGTTTCTTGCTTGTGTTATATGTTCGATCAAAGAGAGATTTATAGTAATTTATATCCATAGATCACTGATTCATATCCGGCTCGAATGATCAATTTCGTACAAAATAAAAGAAGAACGATTAGTTGCAAATGTAACCGATTTTTTTAAGATTTAAAGCCCTTAAGCCCCTTCAGTATCTCCCAATTTCCTCTCTGAGAAAGACTGCTGTAACAGTCCACGTAATCAATTGAATACTAAATATGTTATAATACTCTTTTAGGGGACATGATAAGGAATACACGCGGGATAGGGAGAGACGTGACCGGTCCCGTGGAAACAGGGACGACCGCAAGGAACGCCGCTACAGTCGCGACGGAAATCATTATAGTGCTAGAGGGAGACACCGCTAGACACAGTCTCCCTCCTTCTCATTCTCCGGCTTATGACCAAAACGACAGGACGCCGCTACAGACGCGACGGCAACCATTATAGTGCTAGAGGGAGACACCGCTAGACACACACTATCTCCCTCATTCTCCGGCCTATGACCAAAACGACAGGACGACGGTAACTATAGTGCTAGAGGAAGACACCGCTAGACACACACTTTCTCCCTCTCACTCTGCAATCGGCTTATGACCAACACGACAGAACGCCTCTACAGTCGCGACGGCCACTATTATAATGCTAGAGGGTGACACCGCTAAATACACCTTCTCCCTTTCACTCTCACTCTGCAACCGGCTTATGACCAAAACCGGCTTACGACCAACACGACAGAACACCGCTACAGTCGTGACGGCAACTATTATAATGCTAGAGGGAGACACCGCTAGATACACCCTCTCTTCCTCTCACTCTCACCTTGCAAGGCTTATGATCAAAACGACAGGACGCCGCTACAGTCGCGACAGCCACTATTATAGTGCTAAAGGGAGACACTGCTAGATACACACTCTCCCTCTCACTCTTACCCTGCAACCGGCTTATATCCAAAACGACAGAACGCCGTTACAGTAGTGACGGCAACTATTATAGTGCTAGAGGGATGCACCGCTAGATACACACTATCTGTCATTCTCACTACAACCGGCATACGACCCATACGCTGCTACAGTCGCGACGGCAACTATGATAGTGCTTAAAAGTGACTACTGGATTCTCTGTCTCACTCACTCTGCAACCGAAGACCGAATCGATTTTTTTCATTCCCCGACTGTACTTTATTTTAGAAAGGCTACCTACCATACTATTTCAAATACTAGCCAGTGCAAACAGGCGGATGTACAGATAAACCTGCCCAAAATATTAAAGGGAATTGCTCTATGCGGTGGTTGAATCAAGAATCTATATCTTACCAAATGATAAGTACGAATTCACATTCAAATATTCTGTACCCCTAGCACGAACCAATATCGAATTCGTATCGTTTGCGAGTCCGAAATGTCATTGTCAAATGTGTACTGATTTTTAGTTCTCGTTATGTAATTTGATATTGACATTTCGGTTTGCAAACTATTCGAATTCGATAATGGTTCGTGCTAGGGGTACTGTTCTATCGTCCGTTGATTTGCGTTGAACAATTTCTAGATCAGTCAAGGTTTATCTTAAAAAATTAAGGGTAGTAGTTAAAAATATTTAAGATTTCGTCTTGTATATGTTACCGGCCAAACCCGATTTCAGGACAATCTAGTTTTGCCTAGGCTAAACTGGTTCTTCCTATACGCGATAGGATTAACTAGTATAGCCTAGTCCAAACTAATTTATCCTAAGCGCGACAGGATAAACCAGTTTAGCCTAGGCCAAACTAGATGATCCTGATATAAATACGCACACTCTAGGATAAACTAGTACGACCTAGTCTAAACCAATTTAACAAAGCGGAAAGTAATTGAACAAACATGTCAGGACTTGTACAGGGCGCGTCATGTAAAAAGAACGCTGGAAGAAAGTGGAGGGAGTGTTTTTTCTGTAATTGGTTTTTGTTTAACTCTTTTGTTGTTGCCGGGAGTTCGGAAGACAGTAAAGCCGGGTACGTATTAGCGATCTGTTACCGTAACATGCGTGATACAGTACGAAGTTCTAGTGTGTACGCTAGTAGCTCAGTTGTGAACGTTGGCTCGCTTCAAACCGCACGCGTACCGTTCTCGCAGCAGGTTATCGAACCACGTACACACTATGCTTTTTGGTTACAGTGCGTGCAACGGTTATGGTTACAGCTCGCCAATGAGTAACTACCCGGCTTAAGAAATTCCGAATCATTCGAACCTTTTACAATTCATCTCACTGTAAACTCAAAATATTTTAAGAAAAGTTTACTAGAAAAAAAATCCACGCAGACCAGGCAGCGGACCGGACTCGAACCCGCACCCTTCGCAATCCGGGCGAATGCACTGACCATTATGCTACCACGGCCCTATTCGCCGCGTCGAAATTTTCCTAGCCTTAAGCTGCAAGGCAGCGCCATCTCTTCGCATTGTAGGTTGCAACCACGCAACCCACAATGTCAAATGAATACTTTTTCAAGTATTAAACGTTTGAAAGAAGAAATAGCAATTATAGTTAGTGTTTTTATTTATTTTTAAGCATTTAACTGCTAGGTGTTTAAATCTAAAGAAAAGTTTACTAGAAAAATTAAACTTTTCTTACTTTTCTTTGTATTACTAATTATCCATAACTTGTAACGATGAATCATTATGGTTTTAATAAAAAATATTATTTTTCCAATTACGGATTATTTTATTCAGTTTATCTATTTATTTTGACTTTCTAGATATACTATAATGTTTACACTAGGCCATACTAGTTTATCCTAGAGTATGCGTATTTTTATCAGGATCAACTAGTTTGGCCTAGGCTAAACTGGTTTATCCTATCGGGCTTAGGACAAATTAGTTTGGACTAGGCTATACTAGTTAATCCTATCGCGCATAGGAAGAACCAGTTTAGCCTAGGCAAAACTAGTTTGTCCTGAAATCGGGTTTGGCCGGTAACATATATATCGATAACATTTATAACATAAAATATTTAAATTCAATTAAATATCGAAAATAACTATTGGTAGGTAAAATATTCAATGTTAGGACAAAATTTAAATATATATTATATGTGTAATAGATAGGCATACAGTTTTAGGACAAATATTTAAGCTACTGCAAACGAGTTAGGTATGCTTTGAAAACAGGTACAATAGGGAAGATGCAATATTTTTATTTTTGTTTTCATTTTAAAGAATTCCATGTAGAATAAAACACAGATATATTAAAAAATTAAAACATTGTGATTTATCGGAAAAAATGCGGTTTTAAATTGACAATTTAAATTTTCGCGCGAAAACGAACCTATGGTTGCGATGACGTCACTCCTGTCTGTCACTGGTCGTAATTGTTCGTTGCTGGCTTTAAATGTTCATACTTTTGCATATTTTATCGACTTTCGAAATATTTTTTTGAAAAATTTTTAATGGACTATCCATCAACATCATGTGATCATAACAATACCACTAATATTCCGAAAAAAAGCCGTGTTGACTCATGTTTTGTGCCAATCTACTTCAACAAAGTTCCCAAATAAATTGTTTTTGACTGGAACTTCTGACCCAAAACTGAAAAAAGTGGTTTCAAGCTGCGAAGAGAAATGACAATTATTCTCCAAAGAGCATTATTCGATGCTGAGAAGATCACTTTGACGTAAGTCGGCGAATATACTTGTTATATGCATAATTAATCTGCTTGTACGTAAAAACGCATTAGTAACCTACCTAATACTTACAAAACCTGTCTATAACATATTTTTAATTTTACAGTTGGAGAATGACGTCGAAAATTAGATAAAGTTTAAAATGTGTGGCACAGTCTTCACATTGGCAGGACTGAACCAAGCTTTGCGTTTCATTTAAAATAACTGTAACACGATAACCTTCTTTACGTATACTTTATGCTCCGGAGAACTCGACCTTTTACTGTACATAATTTTCCATCTCTTTTAATTTGGACATAGCCGATTGCATTATCGCCGTAAAATTTGTAGAAGCCGCTGAATAAAATACGAAGTTTAACAACTACGATTTTTGCATACCGTAGTAATTTAGTCCCTTTCATTTCTACACTTAAAAAGTCTGCACTTTGGACAAAAAAAGTTATAACCATGTCAACGATAACTCTTGGTAAATTCCTGGAGTCTGCTTTGATAAATGCAACTTCCATTTTTATTAAATGTAAAAAAACGCAATAAATATTCCCATAAAATAATATTTACTTTAACAACCATACCTCAAAGAAGTTGTCATAACAGGAGAGACGTCACTAAACGCTGATTGGTGTTTTAAAATACGTTCCGTTTCAAGTATTTTTAATTCGTAATAATTGTTAAAAAACAACATTATGTAAAATAAAAACGTTGCAGTAGCATTTCTTTTATATTTTTTTAACATTTTAATCATAAAATTTTCATAAATATTATATATGCATCTTCCCTATAGTGGAAGCAACATTTAATTCGCGATAATTGATGCTTGTCCCTCTTTGGCTATTTCTAATCACTATCCAAGAGAGAGGAAAATTCGCGAATGGTTTTTGCATAGTTATCGATAGTGGAACTACGCTGGGTGTTCATACAAAAAAAAACTACAATCCGCGTGAACACAGCATTCAAAAATGGGTTGGACTCTGTAGGTACAATTTTCCGTGGCATCTTAAAGTGTCAAACAGCGAACGGTAATCGAAGTTGTCGCAGAAAGTTAATTTAACCAATAGACGGTTTTCAACTTGTTTATTCTATGCTTCAAGCTCATCGCTGCAGCTCGGCTTTGTAGAAATTATAATAACTGAAATAACGGTGGTTTTAGCTGCGATCGTGCTACTAATTTATAACGAGTTTTCTGCTAGCAATATGTTATGAAAATTTAAACAAATTTGATAAGTCGTATGAAGCTATGTCGTCTACAGTTGGCCCGCTATATCTTGATTGCTCTGACTGACCGTTTGACTGCGTATTAGACTTTTGCGCAGCCAGACGACTCACTTCAGACCGGTCAAGATATATTGCACGACTATAAGTCAGCTGTTACTTTAAACGTTAACATTCATAGCGACGAGGTTTCGATTCGAACTTTGGATGTGTAAAGTTAGCAGCGAGCTCAACTACGCGGAGGTATTGTCGGGATTTAAGCTAACTTCACACTGCCATCAAGTTGCATCGTATTATGGTATGTTTGAAATCGCCAATGTTTAGAGTATTGCCGATGTGTGATATTAAGGTATGCTAAGCAAATTTAAAGAGTAGGTTTTAAAACTAACCCTGACTTGATGTAAAAGTTATAGGATTGGCATTTGTAAATAGTTTATACTTAAAGATAAGTCCAAGTCTCTTTTACATAAAAAGATCTAGAATGTTCGTCATTCATTTTTTTTATTTTATCCTTTCACTTTGTGCCCGAATCGTACAGCCACACCGTGGCCTTTATAATACTATATTTTTGTCCAATTTATATTACAAAGTTTTGCAAATTCGCTGTATGCGTCCGCATCTTGGGTCTTTTTCATAATATAATTTTGTAGGAAAACCTGACTCTTTTGTGCAAGATCGATTATAAAACAAGCACATTTATGTAAAACTCGTGTCATTAAAGAAAGGAATCGAAAATGCCGACGCAAGACATTCTGCCTCTATCGTACGTTACTTAGGATAGCATGTGCGAGAGGGACAGAATGTATAACTGTAAGTACAAAACATAAATAGGTTATGCGTAAAGTAACCTATACCATAAAATAAATATTAAAGCACTCCCACTTCTTCATAATGATGTTTTTTCTTTGGTGTATCTTTTATCGTAGTTTTAACATGTAATGACAGTATGTAAATGTGTCTGGTACACTGTAATTTTATAAGAAGTAGGCAGCATGCCGCTTTTAGGTGGATATTACTTGAACTTCATTTTGATAGCGGGAGAAATGATAAGCTTAAGCGTCATAAGCCCAAACTTCTATTGACTTCAGGTGCCGTAGATAAGCGACGTTATTTCTATTCGTTTGAACGAAAACTTTCGGAACCTTGTTCTATTTCGTTGAATTTGCGTCATTTAGTCTTCTTATAGCTTACGATTTGTAATTTTGGGTAAAATTACATACCATAAGCTTGTCAATCGTATACAATTAATGAAATTGGGATGCACATATGTGAAACAAAGATGATGCTTTGTCTACGCTTGTACCCACAAGAACCTAAGCGCAAATTATTACACAGATTTACATTATACTCTGGTTGAAATTAATGCTTTCTTTTGTTCTCTCGTATTTTTACAATATTTTGTTTACGCATTTATATCGAGTCGTTATTTTACTATTTAGGCTATCAACTCACGGAGCGTTTTTCACCCGCGCCCACCGGCTGCGGCACCGCAACTGCGGCACCGCAACTTGCGTACTATGTGTAATTGTACGTAAAGCGTGATTGCAAGTCTAAGGGCGCGATTGACGCCCGCCGAGTGCGCGGTTGTCTTTTCTTTAGTTTAGTTTACGAGCGTTCTCGCAGCCGTAGCCGCGGTGGCTGCGCGTTTGCAGAAACTGTAAAATAAAACAGCTCTGCGGCCGCCCGGCGGGTGCGGGAAAAACCGCTTCGTGGGTTCTTAGCCTTAAGGTTTTTGTGAGGGGGCAAGTTTTGAACATTTGTTTTATAAATATTAAGTTAATAAGACAAGATGTTTTGCTTTTTGTGATAATACACTGGGTATGAAATTATATTAACTGTTTTTTTATACATAATTTAACCCACGGGAAATTAGTACAGGGTTTCGTAGCTTAAATCATATTTAAGTATATTTAATGATTTACGCGTTACTCACTCATCTCAAATAAATTTAATATCAGCCAAATTCACTTGATGTCTTACTCTATTGTATTGTTAAAGACAGTGACAGCAACAAATTCCAAGATCCCCGTACGGCCGTGACTTACAATTAATTTGCCCATTTTGCTGTCATAAATGTTTTTATCTATCAATAAATAAAATACAATGATACTGAATGTGATAAATACATTTATCATTATAAAAAAAACATGCCTTTTAAAAAAAAACAACTTTTCCAAATCTTAGTGTTTATTGAAAATTTGAAGGCTACGAAATATTATTGTTCGGAAAAAATCTGCTTTTGAAATAATTTTTAAATTTTGATTATGTGATTTTTGTTACGGAATTCCGACTATCCCTCCTTATTAAAATAAGGCTTGATTCATTTGTTATAAATTAAAGATTGCTGTTCTGCTTTTGCATAATAAAAAGGCAAAGTACATCCGTAAAATACGCAGTGATCTTTATAGTCTATTTAAGAATCAGACTACATTTTAACTCATCCCGATAATGTCTTATTTTATCCACCGAGTTGTGCGAGAGTTGATAAAACAAATGAAAGTGCAGCAACTCACAATCTATCTTTTCTAATAGTAAATAATTACTATTAGAAAAGATAGTTATAGAATTTGGAGTCTATAAAAAGTATGATTACACGAAACAATGAATTAGAAATGATACTAAACTGCAAAATAAAGCAACGCTGCCTCAAAGTTTGTGATGTTCGTATAGGTAGCCACAAACTTCTTACGCAGAACCACAGACAACCTTGCATAGTAGAAGTTTTTGTATGTTAAATTGCTACTGCGCAGGCTTCCTTGTCTATGGTCGATACTCAAGTAGTTTGCCGGGTTGTATACGACAGTCGTATTACGGGGTTTTGTCTTAATCAACTCTAACAGAACTGACTTCTTGTTAATGTCTATTTCATAATGTAAAAAGAAACATTATGCGTGTAAGTCATACATAACTTTTTTCATTGTCTCATGTTCGATTCCTCGCTGTAAAATGTTTAGATTTAAGGTGCTTTCAAGTACTTTCTTCATGTTGTTAAGCATATTATATCAAACAGTTTTTTTGTTCCCAGGTAAATACATTTATATATTGTATAAATCTTTTAACTGCTATTTGCTTAACTTTGAAAATATTAACGCATTTTTTATTTGCGCTGTGACGTTTTCATTGGTTATGTGTTCATTAGGTACATGTAGTAGGTACCTGTTTTATCTGGGAACTGGAACTCTTGGATTAGCGTGGTAAATTTTGAATACAAAAGACATTTCTATTTTCACGATTGAATTCAAAATGAGTGACTATCTTTAAGCTGAATTTGTACGGTAATATTTAGATTTAGGATTAATTAATAAAAAAGTATTAAATTTAAACAGGTTATTTTTTTCTTCTTCATAATTTAAAAAGAAAGACTAGTAAAGTATGATGGATGACGTATTTTAATCGATCTGAAGTTAGTGTTATCGCGCAGCCAAGTGAAACTAACTTCAGTCCGGCGAAGATCTTTACGGCCTACCCCGGCAACCCCTTTATACTCTAATGGTTTTCTCATGATTGCATTAGCTTCAAATGCTTCAATAGGTAAAAGAAAAAACTTTTTCAATTAACTTTATATTTAAAATCAGTTTCTAAATAATTTTCACACATATGTTTCCATCTATGTTTAATAAAAGTAGCTCATTTACCGCCTTCTAGGCAGCGACATTCCTGTAACAACGATAAATGTGAAAATTGTATTAATTGAAAATTGCTTAGTTCGATAAATTGGAATTTTTGGAAAGCTAGTAAAGGAGATTGCTCAGCTTCCATACATGTTTGGCCTAAAGACCAATAATCATGAAAAACTGTTTCCTAGATCCGAAATTATATATAAATTACTGTAGAATCGAATATTATTGACGGACACCCCTGAGAACTTCTATAAACCATATACACTGAACATATTAAAATAATAAAAAACAAGTTATATAGTAAACTAGGGAAATCAAGCCAAGTACCGAAATTATGGATTAGATTAAGGTATATAGAGCATGTAGATTAACAGATAGTTGCCTGTTTTTAAAGTTAATGCATAAGAGTAACTTAAAATCAGGTGTCATTTCCGGTTATAATAAGATACTCTGTGACAGAAACTGTGTGATGATTGAGAATGAGCCACAGATTAGAGAGAATTTTTAAAATCTACTTAACCAAAGAAAGCTAAGAGATTTAGGTTCTATAGCCGTATATTCAGTAGCTTCATTATTTTTGTTATGTTTTTAAGATAACCATATTTTAGATTTTTAGTGTATCACACCTTATAATTTTATTTATTTACTAGTGGCCCGCCCTCGCTTCGCTTCGGTGTAAAGCTGTAGTGTAGACTATAGATTTTGTTCTCAGGCTTGTATTATACACAATGACATTCTTCTAATACCCAATTACAGTAGGCACGCGCCGCCAAGCCCGGTAGCGTCGGAACCGCTATGTCCCTGAATTTTAAATTTGTAATATCTTCGAAAATATTCATTTAAATTATATGCGTTAAAGGGCCAAATTGTTCTATATTAAATGCACAATGTATTTAAGGTACTTAATTGGATAAGAATGAATGTTATATTGCTTAAAATCGCTTCGTATATAATCTATTATTTCTCGTAAAAAGTATAGGATAAAAATTGGTTATTGTGGGTTATCCTTAAGAGATAGACATATACCATCGCGGACTTTTTTGTAGACCTTTTTAAGGTGTACAATACTGTAGTACATTATTATGATCTATCTCGTGGGGTTCAGCCAGCGTTTGCAATGTAAGCGCAAAAAATGTGTTTATTTACGACCTTACATTAAAAACCTCTAAAATTATCAGTGTTTCTCTACTATATTATGCATGTATTATACATATAAACGTTCCTTGAATCACTCTATCTATTAAAAAAAACCGCATCAAAATCCGTTGCGTAGTTTCAAAGATTTAAGCATACAAAGGGACATAGGAACAGAAAAAGCGACTTTGTTTTATACTATGTAGTGATTAATTTATAGTCAGGGAACGTAGGCCCATAGATAGATACCTTAAAGTCTAACATATATACAGATCATAATGTGTTTATGGAGGTGTTTGGCGAAAAATGTATGGCAATAGACTTTATGATGTCGCCTACCATCTATAATAATTGTCTGAGCACATTTGCATCTAGTGAAAATGATAATATAGTGGTGGATATTAATACCACAGTGTAATAAAAAAATGATTCATTTTATCGACCTTTACAAAATAGATTTGTTTTTATGTTATATAAACCACTTCGATCAGTCTTTGGCTGAATGTTACTACACCCATAGCCATTAAAAATGATTCGTATGTTTTCCAAACCGGTAATATTAAAAGTCCTTTTTAAAGTAAATATATTATACAAAGGTGTCCGTTGAAATCTAATGACTGTAAATTAAATTATAAATTACGCCAAGAATTACCGTGTATGTCAATATTTTTTGTGCATTTAGGCCAATTTGAGCAATCTCCTTTCTACGTAAAGCTTTCTACGTCTGGATTCCAATCCAAGTAAGCAAAGAAAGCTTTCTGATTTTCTTATAAGTATTTGTTTTTCTGGTAGTAGACTAGGAATAAATAAATGTAATATTTCATAAGCCCCTACTGCATAGCAGGTTACCACTCGAACTACAGCGCCCGTCTAGAGAAGTAATCTACACTTTACTGTCGGTGAGTATTCGGTTCCAGTCAGGGCTCGACGGGTAGGGAATAGGTTCAGGGTATAAAATCATTGACAAATAAGAAGCTCGATGCGTGAGGAGATCGATGGCGCAAGCGTTCGCTCTGCGATCGTGGAAGTGGAGCAACTTTAGCAATATAAGTTTAGATAATATTATCTAGAGCTCTCTATTTCGGAAGGTTCTTTAAGCCGTTGGTCCTGGCTGCATCTGCAGTCGTTAGCAGTCGTGGGCAGGCGTGGTCTGTCCATAGAGATATAAGAATAGAGTGGGGAAGGCGGCTCTAAAAGTGTCCGTCTAGTAGAAAGAGAAAAGATGAGAGACTGCTAGCTATCTCTCTTGTGACGCATGGCATCCAATGGCATCGCATCGAAATAGTAAGATGCTTACGGTTGCCAATGCGCATGCGTGATTAGAAAGAGAAAGCTAGCGGTCTCTCATCTTCTTTCTCTTTCTATTTGAGGGACACTTCCACTTGTAGTAGAGTCTATATCTCCCCTTCTCTATTCTTATACCTCTATGGGTCTGTCACAGCCCAATCTCCCTTTTCCGTAGCCATAGGGAAGGCATGTGCTCCAGCAGAGACCACATTAATAGGCTGATGATGAAAGGATTTAGCGATATACATCCTTCAGCCACCTCTTTTTTTTGTTGACAGTTGCCTTTTATTCACAAAATCAATAATATTAATTAGTTAATTTTACTCACAGCACTGATCACCATCGGTTTCGGTGGTATTCTTGATTTCTCCTGGCTCTCTTTAGGAGGTGGTTTTGGCGTGCAAGTAGTCTCAATAGTGCCACCTAAACAATTTGATAATTAAATTATTATTTAGAATTTCATGAACTGTTTATTTTAGTAGCATTATTGTTATTTTTACACGGGAGATAACTCTTAAGTAATGTTACCTGGACCTACGTTCGCTGCCTCAGTAGTAGTAACTTTGTAGAGCTGTAAATAGAAAAAATCAAATTATTGTTTAATCGCGAGCTCCTACACACATAAAATGAAAGCACATGAAAAGTAAATTTTAGAAATACAGTTTGTCAGCGAATTTCGTTTCTTTCTCGCTGGACTGGGAGACAAAACACATTAGAATATGCTAGCTTCTACAATTACGGTGCAGATAGCAAAAGCTTATTAGTGGGCGTTATGACTGCCACAGTTAAAACTTGCGAAATACATATTTTTGTATGCTACTGCGCGGGTTTTGTTGCCTTTGCTTAATGTTAAGTTTGCCGGGACGTATACAAACCCTGCCGTCGTCGCCGGCCGCCATTCCGGAAGACAATGGCAGCACGTCAGGCCCCCACTGCTTGATGAAATGGCCGAGGCGCGCGACGCGCTGCGCGGGCGTTGTGACCGTATGCGAGCCGCCGCAGTAACGGTTGCACAGGTGCTTGTCGCCTTCGGACCTGCGCGAAGATACAATAAGCATAGATACCGCAGGGTACTTACTTTACAAGAGGTGTTCGATGGGGCAAGTGGTAAGCGCGTTCAGCTGCGATCGCTGAAGTTAAGCAGCTTTCGCAATGACCGACCATTGCAAAAGTTGCATTGAATGTTTCAGAAGGAACATTAAGCCGTTAGTCCTGGCTGCATCTGCAGTACCCACCAATCCGCACTGGGCCCGCGTGGTATGTCAATGCCCCATCTCCCTTTGCCATTCATAGGGAAGGCCTGTGCCCCAGCAGTGTGGACGTTAATAGGCTGATGATGATGACTAACTTTATCCCGAAATACCGGATGCCATATTTCTGTTTATAAGTAGCGGTTGCACAGGTACTTCGCGCCTTCGGATCTGCGCAAATGCTGCACTTAAATGTTCGCATATTCTATTTTCCCACTTCATGCCGTATTCTGTGTTTTAATTCTTCGTCCATGCACATGCAATGGGAAAGATGATATCGTGCATGGGTACGAGGTTCCTCCACTTGAGGTCCTTGAGATATTTTAACTAAATTATTTTTCATTCCAGTCCCTCCTTGATATAATTCAGGTATTTTTAATTTAGCTACGGAGAAGCGTGTAGGCCAAAAAATCAGGATAGCTGGTGTACGGTCGCACGTAATATTTTAGATTTTTTGCAGTAGGACTTCACGTTATAGAACATTTTTTATGAATCATTCTTTTAAAATGATTTGTATTGCGATTAAAAAGTTTAACAAACAATGACTTTCCGAATTTTCCAGACATCAAACGTAGCGTCGTTGTTAAAGTTGTCAGCCTATTAACCTCTGATCAATATTGTATTACGTATGTTCTTTTTGAAAGATGCATATTATAATGTTGAGAAACGTTGCATACTTTGGTCTGGGCAGCTGCTTGGGTCCCATTTGCTTGTCTATAGCCTCCCAGTCGTGCATATTGCGTTGCGGCACATTTGTCTGCTGAGTCTTGCGGATCGCGTCTGCAAATTAAAATTTCACAATGAACAGGGCTGTAGTTGGATGTCAATTAAAAAGCGGAATATTAAACTCCGGTTTATTTATTTTATGTTTTTTTTTATGATTAAGAAATATTAAGCGAACATTTTTTTTTCTCTTTAATTTAAAGTCATAGATGCTGTTCCAACGTCTATGGTTAGGTAATTTTTATTAGGTAACAATAATTTTCTACAATCAGGGGCATATTTCATAAAAAAGTAGTAAATACTGCAGTTTTTGCTACAGTAAATTACGCAACTAGTGTAGTAGAATTATTTAGAAAGTATCATCATGTTTTTTAAAAAGGTTTCATTAAATTTACTGCAGTGAAGTAAAAAATACCACGGTATTACTTCTGGTATTATGAAATAGTGCCCTGGTGTGTTTACCATTATTATTAGGTATCTGTTATTTGAATAGCACGGTATTGTATAGCTATTTAAATCAAGTACTCAATGCGGATCCATAATCGAGTGCGTAGGTATTTGTTATTGAATTGAATCAATAAAATTATCTAAAACGAACAGTGAATCCTAAACAGCTGGAATGTTTTAAAGTTCTAAGGCTATTTGTAGACATATTTGTTGGCCAAGGTGGCATGGATTCCTGAGAATAGAAGACGTGTTGAATGGAATAATAGCAGGGTAATTGTTTGCAGTTATAAATGTTTCTATAGAACTGTTGGATCTAAATGGCGGCAGTGGCGACGTAGGTAGTAGTAAAGTGGTATAAGGTTGTTATTGATATTGGAATATCTAATGAAACATAAAAATAACTTCTGAAATTTATAATAAATTATATTAGGAAAGTTACTCACGGGCGTGGCATTATCCAAAGAATAGTAATTAATGAAAACCGTCATGTAGCCTGTCTATACTAATATTATAAAGAGGAAATATTTTATTGTTTGTTTGCATTGAATAGGCTCCGAAACTACAGAACCGATTTGAAAGATTCTTTTACATTTAGAATTATCCTTGATGAACATAGAGTATTTTCAAAAAAGTTAGGGTTCCGTAAGAAAACTTCAATAATTTAACCCAATGTGTGAAAAAAATAACCTACAATAGAGCAAAGTAATGTACTAAAGTTTTATAGAGATCAATATCTACAAAAAAGTCCACGATACCATATGTCTAACTATAACAGTTATGCCTCAAAAAGGTTATAGTGAGTCAAACTTAAAAGATGGACATATGCTGTCGCGGTCTTTTTTATAGAACTTTAAGAGGAACAATTTTGTTATACATGATTTTTGTGTAACCTTAGCCGTTTACCCATCGTACGCAACGGCAGCTCATAAATGAACTATTTTTACCCGTTTTTGCAACATTTTTTATCGATGCTCTACTCCCACTGGTCCTAGCGTGATATTTTATAGCCTTTATTAGCCTTCCTCAATAGTTAACGCTACAGCTCTACACCGAAGCGAAGCAGGGGCGGGCCACTAGTATTTGATAAATATGGTCATCTACGGACTTACTACAAGAGATACGTAAAACAATACCTAAATCCATTGTGCTGGGAACAATTTTTAGAAGTTAAGCTATTACATGTACTTCTGAGTCAGACTTCTTAAATTCCGCGCTTTGCATACATTTTAATTTCAATTATTTTTGTGTTAATCTTTGCTTTTTTTTTCTGAAGGTTGGCGTTAGTGACTGCAACACAGTTTTATACTTCAGCAGCTTCTAATGTACACATGTTTTTATGTAATATCTTTTTTCGTAAATAAAGATTTATTATTATTTAAATTTTATTGCTGACACTGAACTTTATGGTAAAAAACTCGGTATTTTCGTGCTTGTGTGCGTCTGTCAACGTATAATGGGCCAGTGTTGTTTATGTAGCTGGCTTTAGCTCTTCATTATTAAACACTTGAAATGTGTTGCAGTTAAGGAAAGGAGATTGCTCAAATTGGCCTAAATGCACAAAAAATATTGACATACACGGTAATTCTTGCCGCAATTTATAATTTAATTAACAGTCATAAGATTTAAACGGACACCTTTGTATAATATATTTACTTTAAAAAGTTCTTTTAATTTTACCGGTTTGGAAAACATACGAATCATAAAAAACATAAAAACAAATTTTGCAAAGATCGATAAAATAAATCATTTTTTTTATTACACTGTGGTGTTAATATCCACAACTATATTATCATTTTCACTAGATGCAAATGTGCTCAGACAATTATTACAGAAGGTAGCAGACATCATTAAGTCTATTGCCATACATTTTTCGCCAAACACCTCCATAAACACATTATAATCTGTATATATGTTAGACTTTAAGGTATCTATCTATGGGCCTACGTTCCCTGACTATAAATTAATAAATAAATAAAATTATAAGGTGTGATACACTAAAAATCTAAAATATGGTTACCTTAAAAACAAAACAAAAATAATGAAGCTACTGAATATATGGCTATAGAACTTAAATCTCTTAGCTTTCTTTGGTTAACGAGAGTTTATAAAATCTCTCTAATCTGTGGCTCATTCACAATCATCACACAGTTTCTGTCACAGAGTATCTTATTATAACCGGAAATGGCACCTGATTTTAAGTTACTCTTATGCATTAACTTTAAAAACAGGCAACTATCTGTTAATCTACATGCTCTATACACCTGAATCTAATCCATAATTTCGGTACTGGGCTTGATTTCCCTAGTTTACTATATAACTTATTTATTTTTTATTATTTTAATAATGTTCAGTGTATATGGTTTATAGAAGTTCTCAGGGGTGTCTGTCAATAATATTCGTTTCTACAGTAATTTATATATAATTTCGAATAATTTTTTTTATTCAATTTTTCATGATTATTGGTCTTTAGGCCAAACATGTATGGAAGCTGAGAATTAAAAGTAACTGCCACCTTAGTTCTTTTATCAGTTACTACTTAAATAGTCCGAAACTGCTCAAAAATTTAATTCGATTCTACCAACTACGTCATAAGGTATAGGAAATCTGGTTTCTAACCGAGTTCGTAGCTGAGATATGGTTTCATGGAGAAGTTAGCGGGCAGCGGACGGCTGACCGGCACCGTGCTCGGGGCCTCGGCCGCCATAACTGCCTTTGCGTCACACGATATGCACTTCACGTCGCTGCGAGAAGAATAAAAGATTCATTCGATTTAAACATAATACTAGATTTTGGCTGTAAAGAAGTGGCGCTGGAATAAAAAATCCAGAAATTACCAGCAATGATGACATATCGGTTAAATTTGTTCTTCGTTATTTGTGTATTCTACTGGACTGAAATAGTTTTTTTTTGTAATAAACCTATAATATAGGGATTATACTGTACATGCTCCAAAATAAAGTTGTGGGACGCACTTGAGTAACTACCTACTAGATGGGTATTGACCATCACTACTTTTACATTTTAACCAATTTGTTAGTTGATCTATTTTTCTTTAATCACAGTTGATGAAGTCGGTACAGAAAACACACCGTAACAACTTTCTCTTAGTGCCCGCTGCTTCGGCCTCTCGCCGCAATGAGGCCATTTGCTTCAGATTCTCCTGCAACTGACGCAGCTTGCTGTTAAAGAAGTCCTTCACCGGCGACAGTTCCATCTTGTCTAGTTTCATCTCGATCTCCCGCTGTATGTCATCCAGCGCTTGTTGCCATAACGCTTCCTGAAGACATGTATTTATTAATTATTTTATTATACAATAATTAAATAGGTTTGGTCGCATTTTAAAGGATAATTGATCACAATCGGTAGGAGATCTCAGAAGCCGCAAAAGCCGGTGATAAAAATAGTTATGAATGCAAAGCAGTTAGTTAGTTAGTTTCAAATGCTATCATAGTTCTAGTGTAGTTCTAATGGTCCTTCAGATTACAACAAAATACAAACCTGGATCTTTCAATATTTATATCGATGTTCTGTAATTTGCTATTAGTTAGTCATTTAACAAGTACCTGTATGTTAAGCTTCCCGAGAGCATGTTCCAATCCCCTGGAAAGATCATCGCAGGCCAACTCGAATTGATCGTGTGAAACTTTGCGTGCCAGCATCCTGAGGTCTGCTTTCTCTGCCATCGCTTCAATCATATCCTCGCGGTCCAACTTCACCATCTTCAATAATTCTATTTGCTCGAGGAGAGCCTGAGAAATTAAGTTAATGTTAATACTGTCACCAAAAAATATGTTTATGGTGGCAAAAGCATCTATTTAGATTTTTACATTAATGTTATGCTGCCTATCTTCTTTCTCAGCGGCAAGTTGCATTGCTGTTGCGTGAACTTGCTTCAGCTGATCCTGCATTTCTTGGACCGTGGAGAATAATTCCATTAATCCTGAAAGTAAATAGTCCATTTCGATCGTAACTAAAGCTTTTCTTACTCCACAAGCTTAACATGTATAATAAAAAATTGATTTAAACAATATAACCTTGTAAGTCCTTTATTAGATCTGGTGATAGCTTCCCAACTGCTAGGTCTTGAGTGAGTACTGTAACTTGTTTCATAAGGGCTTCCAGTTGATCTTGGAAGGAATGGATCTAAAGAAGAAGTGGTCACTTTATACATTTGCGGTACCAGGTTACCTTCATACAAATCCGATTACTTAATACTTAAATTACGGTAAGACCCTTTTAAAGAGATACTTTAACTAATAATTATTACCTGGTCCTGTATCACGCCGTCGTTCTTTCCTATGGAGTTGCAACATTTGTTCAGTTTCTTTTCTAGTTCGTTGATACGCGTCAGGACATCGGTAGACAACACTGATGATCGTCGCGAAGTTGACCGTTGATTCACTGTTGAAAGTTGAAACTGTCAAAACTTAACGATATAACAAAAACATTATAATATACGAAAATGGTTTTTCTGCTTATTTCTCTAAAATACTTTATGTATATGTAGTTATATAGGTACTAGCAAACCAGTGAACCAAATGTTCACCAAAAAAAAAAATGTATTTAATTAATTGAGAACTTCGAAGATTTTGTGTGGTTTCGTTTGAAATAGAAATCACGTGATTTCTCGAAAACCGGAAGTGCTACGTTACTCACATCCGGTTTGTAGTTTTATCAGACTATTCTCAACTTATAACTTAAACATTCTCTTTATCTATCTCTTACGGTTTGGCCGCTGAAACAGCACCACGGACGGATGGACAGACTTGTCTAATAGATAAGAGATTTTTCGCAGTATATTACAATTCTCTTGAAATTTGCCTTCAATCGTTTCGAAAACAAATCTTGATCGAATGTCGATTAAAATAATTTAAAACTTTAATTTTTAATATTCCAGACGCAAGCACAATATAACAACTTTCTGACTCGTCAGTATGAAATGCTGATGCGTGGTATTATTTTTTCTTACCAAGGATACAGAACAAAAATAAACCAACTTACACGAAGTAGGTGGGACGAATGGTTCTGTGAAAGAAAAATATTCTATCAATAAATATAAATAGGAAAGTGGCCTAGTGTAACTGCAACTATGATAATATCTCAATGGAGCAAGAGCAAGTTGGAGTTCGGGCTGCGATTGTTTAAATGAAACAATTGTGAAAAGTCGCAATGGCTGATGAAATAAAATTTACTTCTCCACGCTTCGAAAGGCACGTTAAGCAGTTGGTCCCGGTTGCATCTGCCGTCTTTTGCACCCACCAGTCCGTTCTGGGCCCGCGTGGTAGGTAAATGGTCAGTTCACCCATCTATAGGGAAGGCCTCAACCTTAGCCGTGGGGATATGAAACATAAAAAAAATCATCTTACCGCCAGTTATCTCTTCTATAGTTCGATAAAACGTCTTAGTTAGTTGATCCAAGTCTGACCTCATTTTGGTCAAGTGCTGATTAACTACTCCGAAATCGTCTGATAGGGGTGGTAGTCCCGGAGAAGATGGTGGTGGCATTCCTGATGTTGGTTGGGTTCCTGATGTTGGTTGGATTCCTGGTGTTGGTTTGGTTCCTGACATTGATTGCGCCCCTGCTGATGGTTGCGTTCCTGCTGACGCCTGAGTTCCTGCTGATGGTTGTGATTCTGATGATGGTAGCGTTCCAGGCTTTTCAGTTAAAGAATCTGATGTTGGACCAGCTGGATGATTTATCGGCAATGTTGATGCTGTCGCTTCTCTACAGGTAAAATAAAAAATATTTTATTCAATTGTACAAAGCGAAATCCGCTATATTCGATATTCTTCTTGATCAATTAAACTTTACATGCGCTCACTTCCACAGAATGATCGATATACATTATATTGTTTTTATATTAACGTTCAGATTTGCTGAGATTTGTAAAAAGAAACTATTTACTTACGCTGTGGTGGGGCGTCGTGATAAGGACTCCTGGAGACCAGAAGCTTCGGAGATCAAGTCCTGGACAAGTGAGCTCAGTTTAGAGATACCCTCTTCAGCCGCTTCTAGGCGGGAAGACACATTTAGGGATGTCCACATGTCCGTTATGGCTTTCATGTTGGTTTGTGACCTAAAACAAACAATAACCGGCATTAAAGAAGCACTACCGACTATGCCAATGCTACATGATTTATATAGTACACTTCATCTTTTCTTCAGTTCACTTCAGAAAAATATACTAAAGTAACAGGACTATGGAGTGAAGTTGAGGCTGTTTCATTGCGTAGGATCACAATATTCTAATACCATTTTCACATTTGTTCAAAATCAGGTGCCTTTAGTGGGTTTATTTGAGTAATTCATTTGACCAAATTTTTAGATCTAGTGTCATGCAAGTATAGCGCTCGAAATGTGTTTGACTTAGGAACTGCATTTTAACATTTTGGTTAAGTTTTAAGTTGTTCGGGTAAACTCAATTTGAACCTAGATTCAGACTACCACTGACTACGTTAACAACCTGACTTCCTCCAATATCTGATCGTTCTTGGGTATGCTGCCATAGACGCGATTCTTGAGGTCCTCCACTGCGCTCTCGAGAAGGTTGAACTTGCTGATGGTGACTAGAGAAAGCTTCTCAGTCGAGGCCTGGTGCGGTATAAATTGTGATATGTTCTCTCCCGCTTTTGCCGAACCGCCTGCACCGGCCCGTCCCGGTGGCGAGTAATCCCGTGTTGGACTTTGTCTGTCTGTGTAGGAAACTGCTTTTACGGTATCTTAATACACCAAAAAAAACACAGGTACGCTGAACAAATTTTTTTTGTGCCATTGCTGACGGAAACTTTAAGTTTAGAAGAATAGAGGGGCATGTATTGTGAACTTCGTCGTTTTGTGTTCTACTCTACTCTATGACTAAAAATTGTACTGAGCAGAATGGGCGACAAAGACAAGATACATTAATCTTAAGGGTACAGACGCTGTGTAGTTATTGCTGTCTTTATTAAATCTTTAGTTTAGATACTATGCTTAATTTAATTGCGTTAAGTTATGGCAAAAGTATTATTTTATATCCGCATACTTACTGCCAGGTATAGCTTTTCTCTTCCGCTCCACTGAAAATAGTAGATGTTTTGGATAAGATTGTATTAAAAGCTTGTTCAGAGAAATAGACAAAGCGCGAGTCAGGCCTCGCGCACGAAGGGTTCCGTACCATTATCTGCTTACAACAACAGAACAAACAACTTTAGATACTATATTATATTATGGGAAAAAGGGCAAACAAAGCGCGTTTGCTGTATGGGAACTCTTAAATAGTTTTTAGTACCTATTTCTTGATATAGAGCGGCAAAAGAAATACATCATCTGTGAAAATTTCAATTGTCTAGCTATCACTGTTCATGGGATACAGCCTATTGACAGACAGACGGATAGTGGAGTCTTAGTAATAGGATCCCGTTTTTAACTTTTGGGTATGGAACCCTTAACAATCTTGCTTGTTTGCGACTCAATACGGCGGTTTTATATTTATAGTTAATCTAGGAGTTTTTTCTACGAAAAAAAACATCTTTATTGATAAAATAATAAAAAAAGTTTGATCTTTAATGTTCGTATTTTTTGCAGGGCAGTTAGATTTTTTTTTATATTTTTATAAGGGGGTGGCCTATTTTTAATTAGACTATTATTATATAATGACTTACCAATCAAAATAGTTTCTGGTTCATCTGATTTCTTGGTCGCTGGCGCTGCAATAACACTCTTAATTAACTATATTATCACTTTTTACGAAGTGACTCCTTCGCAATTCTTTACTGGTCATAAGTAGAGTGTAAGATTATGTTATAAACCATATAATTTTTTTGTAACATTCTATGTTGTATATTGCATGTAAGTATTGATTAAAAATGTAAAGTTGACGAAACTTAACTACCACTTTTTAGCTTCAAAGTGGAGTTTTGCTTTTCACTTTATTGCTCTCTTTATAAATATATACCTATTTATTTCATTTTGTTGGTATAATTATATTTGCTCCACTAATTACACTCTCCATTTTTACCCTCTTATTTATTTTACTACTAAGTAGCGGCCGTCCGCGTTAACTTTAGCTTTCTGAAAATACTTAACACTTTTCCGGTATAAAAAATATCCTATGTTTCTATCCAGGTTATAATCTGTCTCTGTGTAAAAGTTTACCCAAATCCATTCAGCCGTTTTTGCGTGATTAGGTAACAAATACTTTCACATTTTTAACATTAGTAAGAAAGTAGGATTGCTTACCAAAAGGGTCACCTCTATTGAGTATGTTTTCTTTGTCATGTATATAAAAATTAATATCCTGTAAAGTGTTTATCAATATCAATAAATATTATTAATATTACCTATATACTTCTACTACTTATATTGTGTGTGCATGTGTGTATTACATTGAGCTAGTCTCATTATATTGTTCATTTGAAGCATTGTCATACCGGATGTAGCAATTTTCATCACAGGATTTTCCTTGTCCGTAGTCTGAAAATAAAATGTGTAGGCATTGTTAATACCTTATTGATGCTTGATTCAGCTTGGCAGATTACTAGTCCTTCTGATTTTGGGCTCAATACTTAAAACCAGGGGGACAAGGTAACCTTATTATTAAGCCTCCGCTGTTGGTCCACTTGTCCGCCTGTCTGCCAGCAGCTGTATCTTATGAACAGAAATAGCAAATTCGATAGTTGAAATTTTCAGAGCTTTTATTTATTTTGCCGCTTTCTATTTTATTAATAAAAACTATATGATGATTATCTAATATATAAAATTCTCGTGTCGCGGTGTTTGTGGTTAAACTCCTCCGAAACGGCTTTCCCGATTCTCATGAAATTTTGTGTGCATATTGGGTAGGTCTGAGAATCGGACAACATCTATTTTTCATTCCCCTATATATTAAGGGTAATCCAACCCTATTTTTTTTTTAAATTTTAGATATTTTTTTTGAATTTTTTTATGATACAGCATTAGTAAATACATATAACCCTGAATTTTCAACCCTTTACAATCAATCCCTATTTTACCATCGCGATTTTTATTTTTAATAATTTCTTCTTTTTTCTTAATTCAATTTGATCTTCCGCCTTCATCGGTCAATAACCGATCAACTATCAATCGATTAGTTATCCCCGCTAGATGTCTACCTGGGTCACCTCTCATCCAGCAAACATCACGGAGTAGGGATGAGAAGGAAGCCGGTCTCCTGTCTTCCTTAATATACAGTTTTCGGCCATTTTTTTGGTTTCATTTGTGTATCGATCGTAGCAGTGACTCAGAGGCGGCTTTACCTATAGTGCAGGGTGTGCGGTGCACACGGGCGCCGGGTCTAAGGGGGCGCCGAGCGCCCTCTACTCTTAATACGACACCTCTAAAGACGCGTGCGTAGTCGCTCGCGGAAAAGGCGGGGCGGCGCACTCAAAGATCCTGCCGGCCTTTGCCTTTGCCTTTCGGCCGATGCCGCTGCGCCGGGCGCGCGGAGCAAAGCAAGCGCGCCACGACAAGTTGCGTCTTTACCTACTCTACACAATTACTTTTATTTCAACGTGAAATCAGCTTGAAAACAGATAATCAAAGATTATATTGGAGTACTGTCGCATCACTACCAAAGGCGCGTGCCGGCACCTGTTTTTGACACGTTTGAAAACACGCCGACCATCATTGCTAACTCGGATGTATTAGAATCAGTGGCGGTCTTAGGGGGTGGCGAACAGGGCAATCGCCCGGGGCCTCGCTCCTACAGGGGCCTCGCGCAACAACCCAAGCAAATTTTAAAAATATAAAAAAAAAAACTATTTTTTCAATGACACAAGATCGGCTTTCAGCCCTCGCTATTCTTTCAATCGAAAATGACGTAGCTTATTCGTTAGATTATTGTGCTTTAATTAAAGATTTTAGTCTTAGGAAAAGCCGCAAACATCAATTTTAAAATTTATCATCTCTGTATTTGTTAATTTTGTGAATCTTTCAATGTAAAATATTTTAAAATTCAAATTTGATTTATTTGTACAATTTAAGCATTTTTACTTAAACATGACAAATACCTAAACCAAACAACCAGACCTACTTTCGCATCACATACTTTTCACGAAGGACAAAGGGCCTCGCAAAGACCTGCCGCCCGGAGCCTCGCAATCGGTAAGGCCGCCTCTGATTAGAATAACTAATAGTTCAAATTCAAATAGCAAGGGACGCTGTGGCGGTAATTTTCAAAGGCTTTCTGTACGAGTGCCGCAAATTTTGTTTTACCGTTTACCGCTACTCCGTAGTTTTGCAGAATAAGCCTTGAGTCAATGAATTAAGTATCATCTTTGAGTAAACATGTAAATATGAAGTAAGTTGGCTTTTCTTTTGATGAAAATTATATATTAGATATTTTTTGGTTTATTTTTCACACAATTATTACGACATGCATCGGGATTAGATGTCATCAAAAACAGCTAGCCAGACCCAGACGGCACTGCAGCTAGCGAAAAAAAAATTAACAACGGGTGATAGTGATATCAAAATAAACACCTAGGTATACCTATCTAGGATTTCTTTTATTTTGTTCGTTGAGTGCGTGCGGAACAAACTACGCAACAGTAATTTAAAGTTTTTTTATATGTACCTACTAGTATACTTGGGTATTTATTTAGTTCTTACTTTTATGTACCTAACCTAACCTTTGAACAACAAACATGAAAGGGAAAAATGTAGGTCTTCAAAAACGAGTTTTAGATATAAATCCGCGCGCATTTTATGTACCATGTGCGGCACATAGTCTAAAGGACATTGTTCAGCGTCCATACATAATTAGCCTAAGAACCAACATTCATGAAATATTATTTTCTAGGTTCAAAATCGTAAGTAAATGACCGTAAAAACAAAGATTATTGACGGACACTTCTGAGAACTTAAATTATTAGGAAAACTATAATTTTTTTGAGGTTATGTTTAATATTCAATGAAACATAGGTCAGCCTATGAATTTAGTATGAACTCAGTATGAAGTGAATTAATATTACAACTAATTCATTTTATTCCGTGCGATTTTAAAGAATAACTATTAGGAAAAACTTGGTTAGGTAGGAATCATGAATAAAATAAAAACTGTAGTTTTGCTTCTTATTTATTGACTACTTTTCACATAATTGTATCATATTGTTTATTGTATTTATTTGTATATCACATGTATATTGTATAAATATGCAGCGTGAATGTGTATCAGGTGTTCTTGAATAATTTGGCAGTATGATCCTCTCAGGATGTTGTGGCACAGGTTCACTAGCACTTGGTAATAAGGGCTCTGCACTTTGGTAACATCAATGGCATATTAGATAGCCGAAATAGTTAAATTAAAGGCAAAACAATCGCAAATAAACACACACAACAGGTAATCCGAAACGAGAATGCACTTTCCGGTATACTATACTACTCTTTGGAATGCACGAATGCCACAGATTACTACGAATGCAAACTGCATGCACCACAACCACAGAGTAACAAGATTCATGCCAGCCCTTCACTTGACAACAGTTTGTCCTTGTCATGCTTAATAAGGAATGAAAAGGACAGACTGATGTCATGTTTTAAAATAGCAAATACGTATAGCCAAGTGAAGTGCCGGCATTAGGAAGAAAGGGTGTTTTGTTTGCAGCGCTGCCATAGATTATACACATAAAATGGTATTTATAGTCTCAGATTATTTTTTAACTTTTTAATTTAGCTTACTTAACTGGAAGTGTCCGTCACAATCTAAATACTGATAATTATCGCAAAAAATATACTAAGAATTATCATAAATGCCAAATTGGTGTTGGTTCTTAGGCCAATTTTAACATTGTCCTTTGATAGTGAATGACGCTGCTAAAAGTTCATTAGAAATAGTAAATTTATTTTCAATTGTGCAAGAAATTTATGTTTTTTTTTCGGCGTCAACAGCACGGTGGCAAATACTTGCTAAAGAAGTGCCAACTTTAAGTTTAAAACCACTCTCAAATACTCGATAGGAGAGCAGGGTTGAAGCAGTAAATGCTTTACGTTTTGAACTGGGAAACGTGTATGATGCCTTGTTTACCATATATTCCGATAGAAGCAAAGATGCGGAGTCCAGAAATATGGCAAATTCATTACTGGGAAAAATTAAGTCGCTTAAATTCATCTGCTCTCTGCTTATTTGGTTTGAAATTTTAAGCAAGATAAATATAGTTAGCAAGGCACTTCAAAAGTCAGACGTTGTATTGTCAGAAGCGGTGAAAATGATTGTTAATGCAAAAATATGTGTCTGAATTCCGTAATGACTCCGCTTTTGATAAGCTCCTTAACAGCGCGAAAACTGTAGCGGAAGAAGTCGAGGCAATAGATAGAATTGACCCCGTTCCTACTAGGGGGCGCCAGGGTACTGGTGGCACACTGGCGCCACAAGGGCTAGAGCCGCCTCTGCAGTGACTTATACGTATTATTTGAATTTTTCTATGCATCTATTACGTTAATTTTACTCTAATCGTGAATTTGTAATTAATTTCCAGTGCAATAATTATTTTTTCACATTTTATTAATAACTGATAAAGACAGTTTTAACTATTAGTTAATTAAGTGATCTCATATAAATAAACACGTGTTGTGATCTCCCGCCAACAATTTCGGCCATTTTTTTGACTGTGAATTATCCAATTGAGTTTTTAAATTCGTTGGATTTGCCAGGCATGCCACCACACAATTTACAATTGAAAGTTGGATCACCGATTATTCTCCTTCGTAACTTAAACCCACTACGGCTATGTAATGGCACACGATTAGTCATTAAAACATTAATGAAAAACGTTATAGAAGCCATCATCTTGAATGGCAAGTTTCAAGGCGAAAATGTGTTGCTGCCACGAATCCCTATGATTCCGACAGATGTGCCAATTGAATTCAAACGCACTCAATTTCCAATTATATTGGCATTCGCTATGACGATCAATAAGTCACAAGGACAGACATTGTCTGTATGTGGCTTAGATTTGGAAACACCATGCTTTTCCCATGGACAACTATATGTGGCATGTTCTCGCGTGGGAAAACCATCCAGTTTGTTTGTGTTGGCTAAAGACGGACTAACCAAGAATAATGTATACTCTATTGCGCTTAGAGATCAATTTTTTTTCAACTGCCATAATTGATAGTTACAATATGAATAATTATTTTTGATATTTAGATAACTAGCAAGAATTGTAATTTAAAATATATTCACTACATTAATAAACATTAATTTATTACCGTACATAAAGCATTCTTTTATTGTTTATAACGCTTTCGATTATAAGTACATCCCCGAACACTTATAGTAGATAATTATTTTTACTGAACTAAAAAAATGTTTCCTACAAATAATATACATGGCAAAACAACGTTTACCGGGTAAGCTAGTGATAATATATAAATATATTATGATAAGCCCGTTCATGGAAGGATTCGGCATCATTTAGGTACAGCCAGTTTCAATAATCAAACATCTGTAAGAAATAGGCCTACTAAAGATTTCTTGACAATATATTTTTATTATTAAGATTAAAACAGCAATTGTTGCTAGGAAACGAAACCAAAATATGCTTACCAAACTATCACTGGAGGTTGAATTTTGTCACGGCTACTTTCAATAACCAATGTCTAGTAAAAGGTAAGGATAATCTGGTTTCTTTTCTTAACACCAGTTAGCTTTGATGCCTAGATATTTCATTATTGAGATAAGATTAACAACTGTTGTTAAGAAATGGAACAGATTATCCTTACCTTTAGACACTTGTCCCTCTGCCGACGTTGATATATATTGTACCTTCCCTACGTCTCTTGAGAGAGAAAGTAGCGAGAAAAGAGCCGATAGTTAGGCGTTGCGTCGCAGCTTCATGCTCTTGTAAATAAGGTTAATCAGGTTTCTTAATTTTCGAACCAGATTTTCCTTAGTCTTTGCTGGAGGTTGATTTATTTGAACTGGCCGTTAGAGAAATAATCTACAGTAGCTTCACTTATTTTAACCGTGTCTACTTTGTATTTGAGCTCGTTGCCGAAGACGGTTTGCACGTGACCCTCCCAACTCCACGTTAAGTAAGGATAATCTGGTTCCGTTTCTTAACAGTTATTATTCAGCTTTGTTGCCTAGGTATTTTCGAACCAGATCATCCTTACCTTTTACTAGACGTGGTTATTGAAACTGGCCGCTAGAGAATGAACATTAGGTTCACGTACTTTATCCGTGTCTATCTCGTATTCGTACTCGTTGACGAGGACGGTTTGTACGTGGTCGCGCCCGACGGGCAGGTTTGCCGCGCTGCCTCGCAGCTCCACGTTCTTGCCTTGCACACGCAGCTGCTGCGCGAGGCAGTGCAGTACCGTTTGCAGCATATTGAAGTCCACTACGCCACACTGGAAACAATATCTTTAAGGCCGTACCGTACTGATGGGATGATGACTTAACTCTATTACTAAATCTCAGCTGCCGTCTGTCAGCACACTGTATCGTATGTGCCGTTATAATAAATATGATATTTTAAACTCTTACACCATTTAGCCTAGCCCCAAAGTAAGCACTGGAATGCTTGTGTCATGAGAAACTAGGATAACAGATAGAAAGACACAAGATGATGATGATACATATATACGTAAGTATATTTTTGTTGAAACATAATTATAAGGTAGGTAATGCTAATTTTCGGGCAAATAATGAATTATGTATAAAATTTCTTGAACCTGAGTTGTGATAATAAAATAATACGATTAATTCTTTAGCCTTGCAAAATATTTAATTGTAGGTAGGTACTTATTAATATAGTAAACTAACTAGCAAGCAACTTCTGCTCTAAATTACAGCATTTACACTGGGCCCGCGTGGTGGGTCATGGCCCGAATTCCCTATTCCATCCATAGAGAAGGCGTGTGCCCCAGCAGTGAGGACAATGATAGGCTGATGATGATGATGATGATGAACGTTGGGTTTCGTTAAAATCGTAGGACAGGGTGAACACTATAAGGGGTTTTTGACGATTTTTTTGGTCGAATAATTTAAGCACCACCGGAAATTGTATGGTTTGTACATCGTTTTTTAAGGTCATTATTAAAAAGTTAACTTATCGGGGCATGGTGTTGAAGGTTACTTCATTTCTTGTGAATTCTATAACTAGAGAAAAGTTTGTGATATTGATTTTTTTTTTTTATGAACAGTATTATTATGGTAATAAAGATGGTGTTATGTCTCTATGTTCATATTTGTCATGCTATTGTGTTTTGGGTTCACTGAAGATTTATTTCACATGCGGATACGTAAAACGGAAAGGTTTGAGTGGAAAAGGAAAAATGAGTCCATTCGTTTTGAAATCGAATTTATTTATTGGACGGTAAAGTAAGTCCAGTTTCCAGAGGGCCCTGTAGTATCAATTATTAATTCAAAGTTTCCAAATGACTACTACTACTAAGACTACTACTTAAAATGAACCAAAATGAAACGTTTACCTGGTTGTTTAATATCTTATCTTACCTCAGGAGTTCCTATTGCAAGGTCGATCATCTCGCTAATATTTAGCAGAACGGCAGGATCTTCTGTTGGAAAAGGTGTAAAAAAAGTTTAAAATTATATCATTTCATTTTATGTCTTAGTGAGGCCGCACATCGGAGCTACAAGGTACATGCACGCACCATTTACCTTGCCACTTTTGCTTTCGTCTCATTACTAAATGCACCTACTACATATGTGTCCTTGGTGTGCGTGCTTACAGATATATGAATACCTCTAGAGGCACTCGCCAATTCTCCGCTTGTGGTCCCCTTAGGATCTCGCCGTCCCCAAATCCGGTGACGATGTAAAGGTCATCTGCGACCAACAGCATACACACTCAAATGCACGCGTTACATAGGTAAAACGTTGTTCATAAAAATCATAGCAACGCTAATGTTTACTTACTAGTCAAATAGGTATATTTTATTATAACGTTATTACCAAAATTATCAAATTACATTTAGATTCGTTCAGTGGTTTTTACAAAGACACAAACATACAAACTTTCACATATATAATATTACTAGTGGGCACCCGCGACTTCGTCCGCGTTAACTTTAGTTTTTTTTAATCACTCAGGAACCTGACACTTTTCCGGGATAGAATAATATCCTTGTCTATAAGCCATAAACTATATGTGTACCAAATTTCATCCAAATCCGTTCAGTAGTTTTTGCGTGATTGAGTTACAAACATACAAACTTTCACAATTATCATATTACATAGTTAGGATAGTAGAACTAGGATTGAGACTCACCAGCCATGATTATTTTAAAATAATTTCGATTATAGCACAACAACAATTAATACAAACTAAAATAAATCGAAAATAATTCACATACATATAATTTACAAAATAACAACATTCATTGTGGCCATAAATAAATTGGCGATTTGACACAAAAATGCTGACATGATTTTTTGGAATACGTTTGAGTCTATGGCGATTAACTCTACTTTTTACTAATAGTCTGCATATAAGAAGGTTCAGCTGCAAAAGTTTTAAGCTTTTTGGTTGAATATAAATATAAAGTTTGTGAAGTTTAAATGATGGAGAGAGAATATGTGAGGTGTTCGATGTCGCAGTACTAACCTTTTTTTTTTTTGTTGACGGTGGAAAATGCATTTACGCACCATACCGCGCGCTTGCCAGGCGCGCGACGTGTGGGACTCCCCGGCGCGGAACAACGCCGGTCCTACCCACTAAAAACCACCGGTACCCTCCTCGGCCCTTATGAGGGCGCACTGGGATCGCAGTACTAACCTAGTGCGTTCGGTCTGCCATCGCAGAAGTTAAGCAAACTTTCTAACGTCTAGTCATAGGATGTGTGACCAAAAATTAATTATCTCGTAGGTGTTGCAGCCCATTCTCCCTATTTCGTTCGTAAGGAAGGGCTGTGCTCCAGCAGTGGGCATACTATGAACTGCTCATATGTCATCATTTCTATTAAATATACTTACGATAAAAGATTTTTTCATTAATATTGTGCCCTTTTGGGGAAGGGGTTATTATGCTTCAGATTGGCCAAATTGTGTTACATATTTTTGTCACAAAGTTAAGTACTATTATACTTATGCATTAGGATATGGACTTAGAAGTTCTCACAATTTTGTTTCTCGGAAGTTCAACTTACAATTATAAGCTATTTTCTTCTGATTATTAAATTTATTAAAAGGTAGGTAAAACCTTTTAGGTACTTAAATCTTCTATAGGGCTATAAAATTATTAGAACAAGTTTTTATGAAATACACACATTAAGGATTTAATCTCAGATTAATTAATTAAAGAGTAATATTTTTTTATATTTTTAGCATGTATCTGATCGTTGTATAAATCTAAAGAAAATATAACTAGAAAAAAATCCACGCGGACCAGGCAGCAGACGGGACTCGAACCCGCACCCTGCCCTATCCCGGCGAATGCACTGACCATTATGCTACCGCGGCCCTGATGACCGTGTCGAATTCTTTCTAGCCTTTCTTAAGCTGCAAGGCAGCGTCATCTCTTCGCATTGTAGTAACCCACAATGTCAATGAATACCTTTACAAGTATTAAACATATAATATAAAATTATAGAGTGTTTTTGTATCTTTCATTATTAATCTTTGTACCCATAACCCCATAAGTCCTACTAAAAGTTATTGCCCCTAAACGTCATAACAAAATGTAATAAAAGTTAAGAATCCATTTAAATGCACATAAACCACTTAATGCGAATTTCATTTACTTTGCTTTGCTTTAAAATTAAGGGTTACCCATAAACGTCAACATGAAAATGAGAGAAATACCATTGCAAACGTAGCTAAACTTCCACAATCTCAGACCAAACGCGCCAATCACTGAATCATCGAGCTCCTTAATAAAATGTAGCTGGCAACTTTTTGGGGCTATACGGAAAAATTTTCACGCGCGGATCCGATGCGGTTCTGCGCGAATCTATATGGGAATCGAGCGGAACCGCATCGGGTCCGCGCGTGAAAATTTAACAGAATAGCCTCACTGATGATATTTCACAATGTTTTTCACACTGTTCTTGTCAGCGAGAGAGATCTTATTTTCCGCAAGTCTGGCTATGTTCATCATCATCATCATCATCAGCCTATTAATGTCCCCACTGCTGGGGCACAGGCCTTCCCTATGGATGGAATAGGGAGATTGTTCCATGACCCACCACGCGGGCCCAGTGCGGATTGGTGGGTGTTAACGACTGCAGATGTAGCCGGGACCAACGGCTTAACGTGCCTTCCGAAGCACGGAGGAGCTCGAGATAGTAAATTTTTGGTCACCCATCCAATGACCGACCACTACGAAAGTTGCTTAACTTCAACGATCGCAGCCGAACGCGCTAACCACTTGCGCCATCGAGCTCCTCTCTGTCTGAAGTCTGGCTATGTTACTCTTTATTATCAGTATAGAACTATGTGAGGAGCTCGATCGACGTTCGGCTGCGATCGTTACAGTTAAGCAATTTTCGCAGTGGTCGGTCATTGCTTAGGTGAACAAAAATGTACTGTCTCGAGCTCCTCTGTGCTACGGAAGGCATGATATGCTGCTGCAGCAGGGGTTAGCACCCACCACTCGGCACTGGGCCTGGTGGATCACGGGCACACGGCCCAATCTCCCTATTCAATCCATAGGGAATGCCTATGCCCCAGCAGTGGTGGCTTTAATAGGCTGATGATGATGATGATAGGACCATGTTATGTGGGTTTCAAACGCATAAAGAAACTAATGATGTTTATTTATAAATTTAGGGTATACGTCAAACCTTTTATAGAAAACTAGCTGTCCCAGCGAACTTCGTACCGCCATAAAAAAATAGGGGTTGGTGGTAGAAGGGCAAAAATTTTGGGTTATATTTATTTTTATATGATGTATCATAAAAAAATTAAAAAAAAAATATCTAAAATTAAAAAAAAAATAGGGGTGAATTACCCTTAACATTTAGGGGGATGAAAAATAGGTGTTGTCCGATTCTCAGACCTACTGAATATACATATAAAATTTCACGAAAATCGGTCGAGCCGTTTCGGTGGAGTTTAACCATAAACACCGCGACACGAGAATTTTATATATTAGATCATTAGCTTTTAACACTCCTATCTATTATATATTATACTAGCTGATGGTAGGACGGTAGGACGGCTGGTGGTAGAAGGGTGAAAATTTAGGGTTGTATGTTGCCCCACTATAAACCTTTATCACTAAGGTGATGAAAATAGATAGAAGCCGATTCTCAGACCCACTGAATATGCATATAAAATTTTATAAAAATCGGTCATGCCGTTTCGGAGGAGTATGGTAAACAAACATTGTGACACGAGAATTTTATATATAACACTAGCTGTCCCAGCGAGCTTCGTATCGCCATAAAAAATAGGGGTTGGTGGTAAAAGGGTGAAAATTTAGGGTTGTATTTTTGTATGATGTATCAAAAAAATAAAAACAAAAAAAAATGTCCAGAAAGAAAATATTGGGGACCACGCTTATCATTTAGGGGGATGAAAAATAGATGTACTGAATATGTATATTATAAAATTTCACGAAAATCGCTCTAGCCGTTTCGGAGTAGTTCAATTACGCACACAGTGCCACGATAATTTTATATATTAGATAATAAACAAAAAAAAGAGAAGAAAGATTTTCCTCCACGTATTTTTAGTACTTTTATGATATACTTAACCGCAAAATACTTGGTAGAGGACTGTGACGCTTGGATGATGGTTCTTTTTCCTTACAATTTGTTTATTAAACTATTCTATATATTGTTAAACGTGATATTCTTCACGTGCTCAATTCAAAATATTATAAGTAGTAATCTAATCACGTATCATACTCAATAGCGTTTCCAATGAACGATTAGGTCACACATAAAATTAGTGAGTCTTTATTTATTGTAGAAAAACTTCGCATTGTTTACTGTTAGGAGAGAAGTTCTCCATAAGAAATCTTGGTATTGGACGACAAAGTCTATGAATAGTGCAGTGAGAGGGCGGACCCGAATTAAGGGTTGAATATCGAGCAATTAAAGAAAAGTAAAAATATTTTCAGTTCGTGTTTATCTATCTAGTTATACTATTTGTTACAAGTTCAATATATCCGGAAGATCTGGTAGAGAAGCCTATGGCATTAAGTCCGCCCTTTGCATATGTATGGCAATAAAGTTTATATAAAATAAAATAAAGATCTTCGAGAAAGATTTTCACACTTCATTGAATCACACACAATATGATGTACTGAGTTTATTTCCGCATTTTTAAAACATAGCGGAAAAGTAAAGAGTACTTTTTATAATTTTAAGGTCAATTAGAATATAATATTTTTAGGGTACCGTTCCCACGGGGCAAAAACAGGATTCTGTTACTAAGACTTCACTGTCCGTCTGCCTGTCTGTCACCAGGCTCTGTATCTCATGAACCGTGAAAGCATAGCTAGACAGTTGAAATTTTCACAGATGATGTATTTCTGTTGCCGCTATAACAACACTAAAAACAAATCATCTAAGTAGGACTACCATACGACGTTTTTTGCTCGATATTATTAACGGTAACAGGTAGACGATTTTAGTTGTATATTCACTAAATAAAATATAATAAGAATTAAAAGGATGCTTCATTGCACTTGGCCGGTATTTTTCTTCTTACTATGTAATTACTCGGTAACATCGTCAATACTAACACAATTATTTAGGCTGCCATAATTCTTTATTCTGTATTGATACAGAATAAAGAATCTAAATCTATCTAATCTGAAAGCTAGACTATACTGTGCTTGAGCACAGTATAGTCTAGCTTTCATATGACCCTTAGTGCGTTCCTGTGATTGTGCTCCTTTAACAGGATTTAAGAGTAGTGAGCGGTTTGCGGGCGTTCCGTCTCTATTTTAAGCTCCTGGGTGACTTTCTGAGTGCTTTACCGTGTCGATGGGAGCTTGGTCCGATCTGTTTCCTGAACGCACTTAACGTAACCGTCTCAATCAATTTCAGAGTAGAAATTAAGAATCATTGAATATGATATGCCTGATTTCTCGAGCGTTTCTTAAATAAAGCCGGTAGCCGGTATTTTAAACTAACATTTAATTTCTTTGAGATTGCTGAATTCCGACAGCGTTACAAGCCAAAAACTGAGAAAAGAGCAAAAATTTCGCTGCGCGTATGCGGTTACGTGGGTTATACTGAAAATGTTTAGAACTGGCCAAAGAGTTTTTTTCACCTAATGTAGTATATTGCATTCATTTGTCATTTGTTTTAGTGAATTGGCGGCAAATCTAAAACTCTTGTTACACATGAAAATAAACCTAACACGAGAAAATTTTCGGTCAATGATCTATTATGACTTTCACTATTTACAATTGGTTTAACGAGTTTAAGCGTGGACGTAGCAATCTCAATGATGATCCGCGTGAGGGACGTCCTTTAACAGCGACTACTGAAGATAACATCAGTGTTGTGTGACTCATGATAGAGGAAGATAAGAGAGTGACCTATCAGCAGATACGGGCAAGCCTAGGCATTGGTATGAGTCAAGTTCAAAAAATATTTTTAAAACTTTATAATTTTAAGCGAACATTTAGGTGTTTACACGAACAGGAAGCTTTGTACCAGATGGATTCCCCATTCTTTAACCGACGCCCAGAAACACCTTCGCATGGACTGGTGTCGCCAAATGTTAGATAAGTTCAACGGCGGTGACTCAAATGCTGTATTGATATCGCCACAGGTGATGAAAGCTGGATATATTGCTACGAACCCGAAACCAAAAGACAATCAGCTCAGTGGGTATTTCCTTTCGAGGATCGGCCAACTAAGGTAAAGAAAGGAAGAAGTCAAGGGAAAAAGATGATTGCCTCATTTTTTGGTCGGAAACAGCCATTTCGCGACAGTTGTAGCACAACTTCTAGTGGAGATGGAGGGACAGTTACTGCAGCGTCAATCGCTGTTTGCCTGTTGTCTTGGAAAAACTCGACAGCAGCGCCCTCGAAGCAGGATCCTCCTTCACCACGACAATGCTTCAGCGCACTCCGGAAAACGGACTGTTGAATATTTGACTATGGCAGGTGTCGAATAATGAGTCATCCGCCATACAGTCCTGACCTGGCGCCCTGCGACTTTCATTCATTCCCAAGAACTAAAGATTAAATTCGAGGTATTCGCTTTACGAGCCCTAAAGATGCTGTGAAAGCGTACGAAAATAGAAGAGGTCCCTTAGAAAGAATGGGCCCACTGCCTTTTTTCAGGGGTTCCATCGAATGCGAAATGTGAAGAGAAGAACGGAGATTACTTCGAAAAACAATAAAAGTATTGGCAACTTTCCACATTAAGCCGTTTTTCATTTTCTAAACATGTTCAGTGTCACCTAGGTATTTGGCTCTCAATAATTATGCTCACCTGATGGGATTGTGAAAAATTTGGATTACATGCACTTAAAACGAAGTTTCAATACCAAATGAAAGTATTGACAAGTTTTTTTATATTGGTTAACAGTATGTGTAGATGCAGATGCACCCGCCTGAAAATAATCCTGGTGGCGCCCATGTTTTTCAATATTTGACAGTAGTTTCCAGAACGTTAAAAAAACATTTTGGTGTACGATTCGAATAAAAAATGCAGAAGAGGATCAGTTAATTCCCAGTGAGAAAAAATTCTATCAAAAGTTGGGTGCTTTCCGACAACAATGACGAAGCCATTCTTTTTACGGAACCCTACTTAATCTATCTCATTAACCGCGCTAAACAGCTGTTATTTTCACAGAACGTGTATCTTTCTAGCCGTAATAAAAATAGATAACAAGATTCACGAAACCCAGCACGATGGTACAAACCTAGATCGGTTCATAAGTCTGAATGTGATCTAAAATTTTGGTAATGTACCTATCACTGCTTCTGCAATCGCATAGAACTTTAGTTCCTAGTCACTTGTTTTTCTTTATATTATCCATGTTCAGACTAAACAGTTTTCTTTCTGATTCTCATGACTAAGTATGTAGTTACATACTTTAGTTTCTTAAATATTAATCAAAATGAAAATGTGAATTTGAACACAAATATTTATCTTAGATGTGTATCAAAGGCGTATGTAATCAATGCGGGTACAGTACCTTCATTTATTTCAAAGAAAATGCTTTAGTTGCATCGCAGCTATTGCGATACTGTCTGGAATGCGATGGGCGTCTCGTAAAATTTTACGAGCATCAGTTTTCGTATTTGCTAAATAACGGTTGGCCTGGATTGCTTAATTGCTGGAATTGAATTTGCCACACGAATATTATTAGCGCTTACGTTATTTTGGACGTGTTTGCAAATATTAGAATATAATCTTTCCTCCTCTGCAAGAGGAGTTTGAAGATTACATAGCTGAGTGGTGAGAACTGAACGTCACCAATACTGAAATTCTATGCCCGATCGGTCAAAAATCAAAACAGCTAAGTAACTTTCCTATATTTTTCCTTTTTTTATTAAAACGGTACAAATTGTGAATTATTGTCATTAATACAATACATAATACATTAAGTAGGATACTTTGTGTAGAATAAAATTGGCGACGTATACTACATTTTTATACACTTTCTTATTATGTTGATGATGGGAACGATCTGTATAAAATTATTTCTGATTTCCATTCTATAATAGAAATCCTTTAACTGTGTACTTAACCTGGGATCGGACTAAAAAAGAGTTCGGTGGCTCTGTAAGTTTGCTCAACGAAAGGTCAATAATTCCTCGAACAGGTTATTTGGACCATAAACACAATATTGACCTAGGATGTTTCAGCCGAGATAAAACTTGGGAAACAATGGCTGTTTGACTTGACTGTTCGAAACGGTACGGTCGGTTTACGTCTGTCATTAAAAGCCACCCGCTAAAAGTTCTGTTTGTTGATTTTATTTATCAGTGCCCGCTTATTTGGTTCCTAAGCATCAACCATCATCAGGTCTCACGGTAATGCGCTCGTACTCCAGGTCGTCATTTCCCGTGATATAACCGTGATAAATAAGATCTTCAATAATAGATAATGTATCTAAATTACGGTTTGCGGCGTGCGAACCTACAGCCGAGCGATCTGGTTTACTCGACGCTCAACTAGCCTTAAATCCGGTGCATGCTTGAGAAATGTTCTCTTGTGGTGAAATGCCGCGTACTTACCTGACGTTGCACAGTGTCAGTTGGGCTCACGTTTCGCCGAAATGTGAAGCTTCTCTTGTTTTTTACCCGGCAGGTGACCGATGCGGGAGCGGGATGGCGCTTGGCTGACGGCTCCAAAGCTCAGGGATCGCGATCAGCGAACGGGCAGCTACACGAAACAGTCTTGCGGCGGCTCTTGCAGGGGCCGATCGCATCGCCTGTTCCGCGAGGACACAAGTTCAAACGTCAAAAACTTTGCGTGTAACAATTCGCCGTCTCGTAGCTACATACTGTCGTCTCCTATCAAAACTGTCTACATCTTACACTGTGCTTACTACAGATTCAATAACATTTTGAGTGTCCAGTGATTCGTTTTGATTCTGACCAGTTTTATAAAAGATCGTGTCTTCAGTTTTGTGGAAAGCACCGGCATCGAGTGCATCCGAGCAGGATCCTGTTGCACCATATTTTAGTAACGGTGAATATTTTTAACATCGTCGTTCTTCTATTTAAACATTGTCATTTCAAGGTCGCTTCTTGTATTTTGCGGTGTTGTTTTTTGGTTATGTTTGGATTGATTTGCTACATTCACATATATTGTATAGTTATTATAACACTTTAAATTGGATAAAAATAGCGATTATTTAAATAATATTCCCTCTTAATTCAGAATTCGTGGTTATAAAACCGTTAAGTTTGTCGTCTTATCCTGTCTTATCGGTGTGCTTTGATTACCATCATTTCACTATTTCCAAAATTTGAAGTAAACTACTTACTGAATCATAATTCAAAGTTATAAAATTTTATTTTGTATTAAAAAATGAATTTATTTAAGTTGTCTGATTTCGGCGTTATGTACTTACTACGGACTTAAAATTTGACAGTATTTCTCATAAGGCATCTTAAACGTCTGTTAAGAATATGTATTTACAATGTCTACTGCCATGAATATAATTTTGGTTTAAAGAATAGTGCCAGAAATAAAGCGTGACATTTGAAATCTGAATTTCTCCCTTGTTGACCCCTTGTTTGTACTTACTACGGTAGCTCTCCTATCGGCGTCTTGTCGCCGGTATTTACTTAATAAAGAGAGTTATTTCGTCTGTTTGTTTATTTGTTACGGTGTTTTCAACTAAATTCAGGATTTTTTTTCTTGAAAGGATGGAACGTATATTTTTAGTCGAGTATGAAATTGATAATAAATTATTGATGAATTTGGATTTATCTAAAGTACTTTTAACTCCTCACTTACGTGTAATAACAGACTATAGGTTCTGGACACCGTATAAGACAAATTAAATAAATTACCCATACGCCCTAAGCCGCTCCCTATGCATGGAAAATTCACAATTTTTTTTGGTGTACGATTTAAGTAATGTTACGCGATTTTATTACCTAATAAATTATCTATGCTTATAAATTAAAAAAGTGGTAAGCTAAAGTATTGGGAAGTAATGATTTCAAGTATTTTATTATTAAAAACAACAGTTCTGGGTACTATTTCCCAAATTGGAATTTTGGATGACATATTCTTCTTGTGAATATTTATGAAGTATATAAATATTTTAGGGTTAATTTTTAATGATAAGTTTTTAGTTTGATATTGTTGTAACGCAAAATTATAGTTATTTGTTTAATAAAAACAACATCATGAAATCGCAAATGTAAGAAAATTGCTCAGGATTAGATTATATTAATTGCTATATCACGCAATTCATTTGTGTTGTTTACTTAGCATATTTTAATACATTGTATCTATAAATCATTACACGGAATAAAGGACATTGGGCAAAATGTATGTACGCTGCACCCACGTCCGCCACGGCTCAAACTACATTTGTTTGAAAGGTATTATAGTCATGATCATCTGTGCCAAAGCGCATCAAATTCTATCCCGGGAGTCTTAAGTTATTTTAAGTTAAATAGGTACAAGTACTATATCGAACGAACATTAATGAAACAAGGGAATTAATTTCGTTAGTTAATTCGACACTACATAGGGGGCTCAGATATTATGGGAGTACTTCACAAGGTTCAAGGGTGCCCCCTTATGTTATTCTGCAGCATTAGAGTAAACCCAAAAAACCCCGCATGGGTTGGGATTTTGTCAAATATTCTGTTCGTTATAGTATATTGTCTTCTTTGTAAAACGGAGCGTCCACAAATCACCCAACCTTGTCCACGTTTCGGAGAAAACAAGATTCCAGTTCATCCATACTAATTGACAAAACCGATAACCGTGTTCTAATGTCCAAAGCGTGTTAGATAAAAACCAATAAAGTGACAGGGAGCGCACAATTACAACGAAGTAAGACGAGACGAATATTTGCACCTGCAAGTCCTTCAACCCCCGTAAACCGTTTTGAGGTGGCTCAGTAAGTGTAAGCGCGGGATGGTCGGCAGGCTTTGTCGTATATCTGGTTGTATAGTACGATATGGCATATTATTATGTTTACTAATAATATAAAAAAATATATATATAAAATGAAGGGACTATAAATGAATTTATTTACCAACTTAAATATGTGTCATATCTTTTGACTACCAGGATATTTTTTACGGTGTCATATCTATTGACTCCCAGGATATTTTTTTTCGGCGTCATAATAAAAAAGGCTAGTTTTTCATAAATCTATCGATTCATACTAATTACATTGTTGGCGGAGCTGGGTGCGTTTTGCCCATTGTCCTTTGTTAAAGAAGTTTAAATATGAGTAAGATTTTACCGGCCATAATTATAATCAACGCTGATATAATTAAAAGAATGCCAACGTGAAAATAAATGATTATTTAATGTTTATAGCTTAAGCAGGCATTTTCATAAACATTGACCTCCTTATTAATGAACAAAGCATAAGCTTGGATTAATTACTTCATGTTTTGTCTCTCTTCATCGAATGACAAATGGCATTTGGGTGATATGAACAAAACATGGTGTTACTAGCCTAAGCTTATTCCTTGTTTATTAATAAGGGTGTTAGAAAAAACCCATTGATTAACAAAAGTTAATTTAAGATCTTTAAGGTTGCGAATGCTTAATGCATTCATTATTTGATTTCGCTAAAGCTGTCTGAAACAACGAAAGCCAAAATAGATAGTAGGAATTATTAAGGATAGCGCATATTATGCCGGGCCGCAGCGGGCACATATGCTTATTTAGCACATTAGTGACGGACCGGGTCGGTCGGATTTTGGGCCCCGTGTACTGGGCTACTATACGTTCAAAATATACGCCCTGAGTGGAACTTTTCGCTGACGTTTCAATTTTGACATAAAAGACCAAAATCTGCGACGAATTATGCGGCCCTCAGCGTCCCGGCAGATAATAAAAAAATAAAAAAGGTGTATTTTATTTTTGTTTTTTTTTTTTTGACTAAACGTAACAATACTGTAGCATTTACTGTGGGTCCCACACTAGGAGAAACCTGTATCGTGGGCACCCTAATATAATAAATAGGATGGCGTCACATTAATAATTTATATGTAACAAAACAAACGTAATGAAATCTATTATACATACTTAATTAAAATCAATATTGTATGTATGTGTATGTCTGTCTATGTGTGTTTCCGTGCGTGTGTGTGTTGGTGTGTGTGTATGTGGAGAAGAATAGATATAGTTTGGGATAGGAATGTATCGATGAGATGTTGGTCTTATTTTGTGTGCTTAATAAGGTCCTCTGTTTGAAGGTAGGTCATGCACTTCAGCCTTTTAGTGAGCACGCGTTTGGCTTGTTTCAATGTAGCTGTTTTTATGTCACACAGTTTTGCCATTTTATTATACACATACGGGAGCATGTGACTAGGAAAGCGTTGTGCAAAAGCGGAACGCACTCTGACAACGGGTACCCTAAATACTCTTTTGCATAAGAGGGATTTATAATTGGGTGAGCTTAATACTTGACGATGCATTTTTAAGGAGGCTATCAGTATATAAAGTTGGCGTACATTTAAGATTTGCGATTCTGAATAAAGACAGTCGGTGGGGTATAAAAATGGTTTCTTTAGCATCGTCTTTAAGACAGCTCGTTGTGCTCTCTCTAAGACTAACATTGCAGTGATCCCGGTTCCACCCCAGACAGGAATACAGTAACTAAGTAGTGACTCCCCGAGACTCTTATAAACGAGATTGAGAATCTCCTCGTCAGCGCAGCTCCTAAGAGTTTTCATAACGTAGATCAGCTTTCTGATACGTGAAGCAGTGGTTTCTATGTGCATCTTAAAAGATAGGTTTTCGTCTAAAGTGATACCCAGATACTTGGCATTTGTAACTCGCTCTAAGCTCTGGCAGGTACAGTATTCAGAGAAGCAATCTGAGTGAATACGTAAGGAACGGGCGAGGGGCGGTTCTGATGCTTTGGTTTTATGGAAACATAAATACTTTGTCTTGGAGGCATTCAAAGAAAGAAGATTGCCGTCGAGCCACTTTTTTAGAATAGCCATTCCCCTTTCAGCCTTATTAAACACAACCTCCCAGCATCTGTCATGAAAAATGGCAATAGTATCATCTGCATAGCAATATATTTCGACATCCCGTGGTGTTGCTTTATGAATATCGTTCATAAAGATAATGAACAAAGTTGGTCCCAAAACACTACCCTGTGGAACACCGAAGCGTACAGGCAGCTCGTCACTGACAAACTCTCCCACCCTTATGCACTGACGTCTGCCAGTTAGATAACTACGAAACCAACTCAAGGGCAAGCCTCTTATTCCAATATTCTCCAACTTTTTGAGTAGCAAGTGTACCGGTACAGTATCAAACGCCTTGGCAAGATCCAGTAGAACTCCAATACACTTACTACCTTTGTCAAGGTGATCGGCAACCATGTTCGTGACAGCATCTTCTGTAGACTTTCGACGTCTAAACCCAAACTGCTTAGAGGAAAGTAAATTATGTTTTTCGAGATACAATTGCAGTCTTTTATTAACAATTTTCTCGAGTATCTTAGAAAACACACCCAGAAGCGAAATCGGCCGGTAGTTTTGGGGAATCTTTTTAGAGCCATTTTTATAGATAGGCACGACTACGGCCCTTTTCCAACTATCGGGGAACATCCCGGTTGCAATACTAAGATTGAGGATGTAAGTAATGGGATTAATTATTTCTGCCTTAATAGCTTTCAGTAGAATAGGGCTAAATCCATCAATGCCAGCCGCACTATCGCTTCTTAGCTGTGAAATGATACGATCAACCTCGAATGCATCGGTCGGCTGCATGAAAAAGGAAAAAGGAGCAGGGGGATCCAAACGAGGGTCATGCAATGTAGGACTTGAAGTCGTGCTTGTTTGCGCTAGTAATTTGTTTGCCAGTCTTTCACCGACGTTTGCGAAGTAGTCATTGCAGATATTAACAGATTCACTAGCGTCACCAGGTTTGAGATTAGTAAGTTCCACAGCAGGACTGGAGTTTCCCCCCGAATTACTTATCCTCTTTATGGTCTTCCAGAGAGCTTTCGGATTATTTTTGTTACTGGC